AAAAAAGAGAAGAGATGTATTCCGCATGAAATTAATAGAGGTATTATTAACATAATAATCAGCTTAAAGTTCAAACTAATTTGAAAATAAAAAAATATCCAAAACCAGTTGCTATTATTGACAAAAAAAAAAACACCCAACCAACAATGCAATATGGACTTTGAGAAATTCGTTTCCAAATTTTTCTATTGATATCTTTTATCCTGCAGCCAAAACTTTAGGTATAAAAGTACAGCTATATATAGTGAATGGTGATTAAGATATTAAACAAGATCGAGGACAATGATGACTCTACATCAATCACCTGGGTCATATGTTTAGAAACTGACCACATATATTATATAGTTCATGATGTGTTCAAGTCATTCACGCATGTTGATCTACTAAGCCTCTAAGCAAGAGATTACCCTGAATCACAGGCCTGTATCCGTGGGATGAGAGTTGGAAAGTTTGAAAATTAGAAAATTAAAGTTGAGGTACTTTAAGATCACTTCACAAGGGGTTCGTATATATCAATGTCCCCGTGGGGAGCGTAACTCTGCGTGAAATTTGTTCAGTAAAAAGTAATTGATTTTTTACAGATTAATACTCTTTTATTGCAGCTATAGATCTACATAATTAGAATTAATTACATGTAAAACACGGATATTATACAAATTTAAACAAATGTTCATAAGTCAAAATGTCCTAATATATTTTTTTTTCATGTAATATTTTTCGTGAAAATAGTTACAAATAACATAAATATACATGTAGAAGTGGCATGAAGACATAAGACATAGATTCCCTCACTATATATTGTACAATTATTGACTAGTGTGCCATTGAGTATGATGTAATATTCACCGACATATGACATATGACTTTCTTCCGGTGAATATCACATCATATTCAATTGCACACTAATCAATAATTGTTTTATTGTATGAAAAGGCTATAAGATTTTTTTTTAAAAACCACAGAAAGTACAATCTTATACATGTGCAACTTTCTCCGTGCCAGGCGTGCAACAACTATATGTGAACAAAAGTAATTCAAGTTTATGCTCATCATTGCGGTGTAACCTTTAACTATAATAGTAAAGTAATGATATTTTTAAATAACCGTGAAATATTCCATAAAGAACAAAACGCCACAACTATTTTTTAACAAGCACGCGTAATGAATAGCCATTTAAAATGAGTCTCAATCTATTTTTTGACTCGGAAAATCCAATTTAGCCAATGAAAATGATACTTCACCAAATGAATATGATTCTATAAAAAGTTCCGTTGACTACTGTTTGGACCAATGAGATTGCAGCTAAATTTAGATCATAACAGGAAATACAGATGTTATGACAGGACAGAATAATTAGTATTTTATGTACATTTGTTTGCAATAAAAGACCTTTTAAAGTAAGAGAAGGGATGACTTTTAATAAAAACATTCTTTTCGGAGAAGAATTTTTTTTAAGATTTTGTATCTTTCGTTCTAATCCATTTCAACATTGTATATAATATTGAATGAAGGATATTATGTACTGTTTATGATTATGAAAAAAAATATGTTTTAACTTAATAATAAACATTCTTTTGATATTCACAAGGCCTTAATGCATTGATAATAACAATTGGTCGGATAACAAGAATTCATAATTCTAAACACCTTTGCCAACTGACTTCAAAATCCCTTGATGCTTGACAGAGTTGTGGAGCCGACAAGATTTTCTAAATACTTATCTTTGACCTTAGAGCTAAATGCATGACTGAGTTTTGTATCGGACAATGTGTTAGCAGACATACCAATAGGAACTATGTGTTCCAACTTGCCATTATCATTGCTGTGGCTTTGTTTCCAAGTGTTTTTACCATTAAAACTTTAAAAATTTCTAATTTAATAAACATTTAATACTTGACAGCAAGGCACGCATACAAAGAACAAGAGAATACTGCATTAAACAGAAGTTTGATTAAATACTTACTATTATGATTCAAGGTCGGAGAATGAGTCTTCTGTAAAGCTTTACTCATGACACAACATTCAAGCATAAGTTAGATATGAGTGCATGTACAAACTTGATACATAAATATTAACAATCAATTACAAAAATTATTTAAAATATTAAAATTTTGCTTTGATAAAAATATTCCTTGTAATTAATGCAAATGTAAAGTTATATAATGCATTTTTGAAAAGGTACAAAACAACAATAGGCTTGTAATGGAACAAAAGCTAATGATATTTGAGTTGAATATGTATAGGAAAATATATACAGCTTGCTACTCTACCAAATCAACAATTCAATTATCAAGCTTAAATTTCATAAACTATTTAAAAGACACATTAATCATTGCATAGTTTATATTCACTTGTTTCCTTAAATGTTTCCTTTCAATGTGATTATTTTTACTGATTTTAAACTATGCTTCATCATTAGGTAAGCTAAAATCTTGACATAATGCTTGGAGCAAACGTGTTTTGAAATTTTCTTCTCGTACACTTCCTGTCACAAAATTGTTGAAATAATTGTTGACGTCATTTGGGAAGTCATCACCATGTAAAAGGCCCGATTTAAATAACAGCAAATAATTTTTGTTACGTAATATTGATTTTGACATCACTGTTGTAAGGATAAACATCTTAACATCATCATCAAATGTAGAGCGCGCAATGATGAAAATAAAATGCTGCGAGCAATCAAGTTTCCTATGAATTTCTTCACGGATATCTGCTCCAGGTGTGAAGTCGTGTTCAAGAATTTTGATATTTCTTCCATTTCTGGTTAAGTATGGGACAAGCTCATGTCGGATCTCAAAGTCTAGATCATCAGGGTATGAAACATAAATCAATTCATTTCCATGATCAGTGTTAGATGCGGTGTCAATCAAGGGGATATTGCTTTCATCTCCTTTTTCAATATTTGAACTAATCCTTGGCATTAAATACTCAACGCTTGCAGACATAAATTTGGAAAGTTTCTTGATATATCTACCACTTTTCAGATACCTTTGCAAGTTGTCATAGGTGCATAAACGTTTATTTAGATCCCTATCAACTACTAAAATCAAAAGGTCTAGCTCATTGGTCACTGATTTCTCATACGCTAGATTCCAAGCAGTTATGACCAAATCATTTCCCAGCATATCATCAGTCCAGCAAAATATTATTCTTTTTGATCTTTCAATGAAAAACTCGACGTTTTGAAGGAAAGAAAACCCAACGATCATATCTTTATAAAAATCAGCAACTTTGTAGCCTTTGCTCTTCAATCTGTCTACCAAGTTGTATTGTATGAATTCCCTGTCCACATACGAGTATAAAATAAAAGCATCATATGTTGCATTTGAGTGATTTTGGCTTCGTTTATCAAATGGATGAAATCCACAGTACAGATATAGTAGAACCTTTATTGTAAAGCGCTGAAAGGTAATAAGTAGTAAAATGCATACTAAAACAAACAAAACACTTCCAGTTATTACTGACGGAAAAACGACATGTTCGTGGAGGTGCAAGTTTGTTGGGCAAACAAACACTGACTCAGATAATGAAATCAGTTGTCCAAAACTGCTAGTGTTATATTTACATTCAATCTTATTCCAATGTTCGACTGGATTCGTTCGCAGAAGAAGCCATGATTTCATCCATTTCATCTTGCAATCACAAACGAACGGGTTGCCTAAGAGGGTTACTTTGGACATGTTCATTAACGCAAACTGTTCAGGAAGATGTGTCAAGTTATTGTGGTCTAACTTCAAAATTGAGACGTTGACCAGAGCTTTTGTAGTAGTGGCTGTGATACTGTTTATATTATTATGAGAAACGTCTAGAAAAGTTACATTTTCCATATAGTCCATGGGTAATATTTCATGTAAATCCGTATTACTGAACCACAATTCTAATCTTCCAACCGGCATCACCGAAGGTAAGGAAGAGATATTGATATTCCTACAGTCAATAATTAGCGTGTTGGTAAAATTCCGTTCAAAACAAGCACATCTATCAGGACAAGATTGACTGTAAATTGGACAATAGATTTCTTCAGGTTTTATCGTGGTCATTAATCGTCCTTTGAGCTCCAATGGTTCTTGACATTTCCAGTCAATTTCATGTATACGCAACTCTTCTGACATTGTATACAAAACTTCTAACATTGTGATAAAAACCTTCGAACACCTACAGTCTATTGGATTGCCCTTAAGATTAACGTAAAATTTCATGATAATAGACAAGAAATTAGTCATTAGATCTTCTGATAAATTCTTTAAACTTATCGGTATTTTTGTAATATCATTTTGAGACAGATCAAAAATTGAAGGGATCTTTTGTGCAGGGTTCACCATTTTTGAAAAGCTTGCATTGTACAGCAGTGGCTGAAGCCCACTTGCATTGATACGGCAATGGCGCATATCAACAGACTGTATATTTGGAGCATAGAAAACATTCAACGGTAAATTTTCCAAAGGGTTTTCGGCAAGAGTGACGTCACGAATTGAGTTAATCTGCGACTCAAGAAAGTCATACGGTAATGTTATTATGACATTATGTTCCAAATTAAGATTCTCTAGTTTAGTCAAATGTTTGAAATATCGTTGTTCAACTTTAGTTATTCTGTTTGAAGATAGGTCTAAAGATATCAAATAAGACAGATTGTCAAACACATCTAATGGTAGTGTAGTCAATTTGTTATTAGCTAAGATAAGTGTCTCCAGCTTCGTCTGCATTGTAAAAGCATTTTTTTGCACATCTTTAATTTCATTATTTGATAGATCGAGAAATATTAAACCATGTACCTTCATGAATATAGTATCTGCTACTTTTTGCATTTTACTATTGATTATAGTATTTAGATTATATCCGACTGGGAAACATCATTATTGAATTTTCAGAATGCTGTCATATTAGCGTTTCTTCTTTTTTATAGAATCTTTCCCGTATTTATAATTTTTTTTTAATTAAAGGGAAATTTTAAAATTTGGGTTTTGTATTAAAAAAATTCTTAGTATTGGAAAATCATTTCACTTGATGTAAAATTCGTATTCTAAAACTGATTGTTAAATTTTTGGGAATTTTATTTGTATAAAGGGGGTTTCTTTATTACATGCCTCCCAAATCCCTTTGTGATTAAATTCAGTCGTGCTCAAGGGGTCAAAAATAACTCCAGAAGAAAATTTTTTCTCAGAACTTGTTTTGTTTTTACATTTTTCTTTACAAAACTAGACAGACATAACTTAGTAAGATTTTTTAAAACCAGAGCAAGATGCACCTGTGTGTATGTATGGTACACTTTGCGGTAGTCATAGAATAAAATGTATCCATATTGTTCAAAATTTACCAATTCATCCATGTATAGAGTAACACATAGTTATTGATAAATCAATGGAAATATATAGATCATCAATTTTCGCATTTGATCCTGAAGACAGAAAGTGAATGTCATCATAATCTTTACATAAAACACTTATATACAAATATAGATTAGTTTTGATCACTGTTACATGTTTCGTTAAATTTTTGAAAATCTCATTCACGTCCATTATACATCCGCTTTGGTTGCCCGATATTGTATACGAAAGTACCAACAGATCAAGTGATGGATCAAGAGAATCTTTTTCATGTGCTAGCCTATATACACATGTGTTGCTATATTCACTTTTTGCAATAATCAGAGTAAGACCTAAAGCTAAAATTAATATTTCTAAAATGCTTGATACTGCCATTTTCAGAAATGAACGTGTAACTGGTCTAATCGGGTATTTATTCTTTTACCAAATCCGGGTTCTAATTATAGCTGTGACGTGTAGGAATCTTATTAGTTACCGCATTAGGAATGCCGTAACTTTTGAGAAAACAATAAAAGCGGAGTATTTTCATATGATTTTTTCATTCTTTAACTTTAAACTTCCGCAAAATAAGAAAGTCTTTCTCGTCTACACCTTAAGTTGTTTTTGTTTTCAGATACTTCAGTTCAGTTGACTATTTCAAATTTTTGTCAGTCGATGCAAATTGAAATAATATTTTAACCAAACCGCTATTGCAACACTTAAGCGGAAAAAATAGTTTACAGGTAATTTATCAATACACGATTAATTTACTTGGAAAGCAAGGAAATGAGGCCAAAGATCGGGAATATCGTTATATACAAAGCGAATATTTCTAAGTTTACCTTTTACATAAAAAAACAAAATCTGCATCCACAACAACTTTATCTATAGGGATGATCATTTAATTAAATGGTATTATAATATGGAAATAAATAACCATTTTCTTAAACATGGTAAAATATAAGTGTCATAAAATAAATAGTAAATATTTTGATTGTTACAAGATAAGCTTGACAAAACGATGCGAAATATAGTTTATTTAAGTTTATTCTAATCCGATGCAAGTAAGACATTAAGACACCTTGACTTGACTTCTCGATCCCCTACAATATCAAGATGACTTCTGACATGACTTTTCGTTCCCAAGTGGGTAAGACATCTCGACCCCACATAGCAAAATATACATTGCTACATAGCACCAAAATGAAACGCGAAACATATATACCCACCAGTATTCACTGTGTTAGGGTATATCTTTTCAATATTTATAAATTGGTTAGATTAATCAACTACAAACTTGTACAAAGAAATGTCAGATAAAACTTTGAATGTTTGTTTACCTTTGCTACACTTCAACATATTTGATGTGTGAGAGTTATCAAAATGAGCGTTATCAAAATTCGTATCTAAATTATATTCCATAAAAAGAGAATGAAAAAAGAATCAAGAGAATCTAAGGTTCAGCGCTAGTTTCAGTATTCTTATTAGAAACCACAGGACACTTATTTTATTTACTGACAACTAAATGCCGCTAAAATGTTTGTGAAAAATAACTAAATGTTTAGAAAAGAAATGAAGGTATTGGCGACAACAATATTCCTTGAACGTAGCCTGCAGCAAGTCTTAGTGATGAAATATAGAATGTCTAAAATTTCCTTGTGAATTGACGATTACAAGCCGCTTTATTGTCAGTCATCGTTACAACACAAGTGTTAACGATTTAAAGCAATGTACAGGGAGCACCTTGGTTTGCCACTTAATCATTTAGAAATCTTGAATACTTATTTAAGCACTTTATCAAAGGGAAAATACTCTGTTATTTTTTTATTTCAGTATATTTTTAAAGAGAGAACATATGTAAGTATTAATTTATTTAAGATCAGATCACCTTTCTGAGGACAAGTTATCTGGTACCTTTAACTAACTTTCACATGATTGCAGTCGAACGGATGCCCCGCACAGAGCAAGTTTTTCCTTTTCGCTTTCAAGTATTATGATTTCATTTTTTTACGAATGCATAAGTAGAAATATATTCAGGATAATAGAAAAATTGTTTCAATTAGTTCTTGACGCTTTTAAAAAAAGAAGAAAAAGAAGAAGCTTCAAAAAATCATTACCCCAACCTTTCTTATTTTCATTTCACACTGAATAATTTTTAATTTGAAAAAAGCTCCATTCAGCTCGTGAATCATCCGTTTACATTTATATGGCATCTGGAGGTTAATAATAAGAGCAAATAAGAATGATTTTCGGCTGTAATGTTTGGTATATTTGTATGATTTCGTGAAACTATATGGTAATGTCCATCAATCGGAACGTCCTCGGCTATTATCTTTAATAACCTCGGAGTTAATATGGACTGAAAGTAGTTCCACCACGTGGTTTCAGATGTAAACAGAAGTAATGTCAACAGGTTTTCATTTTTTACTTTCGGTTTGTACCACCATAATAAATATATAAATAATGTATCGTTATCTATGAATTCACTTATTTTAGATAGACGTTTACTTAATATCTTGGAAATAATCTTGTCAATAACTCCCAGCATTAAATTACTATTTTACATGTTTAGGTTAGACCGAAATACCGTATCCGTTCTGTGTTTTCATACTATTATGTTCGAGGTCCTTATCCGGAGACTGACGGAAAGGGATGAAAAGTTGCGATTTAATGTCCATACGAATTTTCATGACTCTTTCTAAATAAAACAAAGAGACATAACTGTAACATAAATTTTAAAACAGAAATTTTAGTTGTTTTTGAAACAATTAATAAACACCCCAAAATACACATCTAGTTCTTCATACGGTTTGTTTGTCAGGGGGAGGCCACCGGTACCTTTGGTATTTCAAGTTACGGGGCCTTATACGGTTGACATGGAAATGAATAATAACCTTTCAAAACAATTTGAGTTCGGTTTGTCATTTAATCTATAAAAAAGTAAAAACAACCTCCTTTTCAAAATTATATATGTAATAAATTTTTGAGAGTTAAATTGTTAAAAGATGATTTGGAGGCATGACCGTGTGATAAGCACATTGGACAATAGATTTCTTCAGTTTTTATCGTGGTCATTAATCGTCCTTTAAGCTCCGATGGTTCTTGACATTTCCAGTCAATTTCATGTAAACGCAAAGCTTCTGACATTGTATGCAAATCTTCTAATATTGTGATAAAAACTTTCGAACACCTACAGTCTATTTGATTGCCCTTTAGATTAAGGTAAAATTTCATGATAATAGACAAGAAATTAGTCATTAGATCTTCTGATAAATACTTTAAACTTATCGGTATTTTTGTAATATCATTTTGAGACAGATCAAAAATTGAAGGGATCTCACCATTTCTGAAAAACTTGCGTTGTACAGCAGTGGCTGAAGCCCACTTGCATTGATACGGCAATGCATATCAACAAACTGTATATTTGGAGCATAGAAAACATTCAAAGGCAAATTTTCCAAAGGGTTTTCGGCAAGAATAACGTTACGAATTGAGTTAATCTGCGACTCAAGAAAGTCATACGGTAATGTTATTATGGTATTGTATTCCAAATAAAGATTCTTTAGTTTAGTCAAATGTTTGAAATATGTTTCAGGCTGTCCAGCACCTTCCGACATAAAATTAGGGCGAATTTAAGGGCAATATTTTAGAAATTTTAGGGCTAAAATAAGGAATTTTAGGGTACATAATAGAAATTTTAGGGCTAAAATTTGGAATTTTATAACTAAACTATGGCACCAAAAGACCATGATGTGGACTAACCTTTGCATATTTGATACAAAATTAACTTAAAAATAATTCTCTTGTTCAGTTAGAGCAAAGGTGTCTACCAGTGTGGACTCACTGGTCAACTGCCTCCCCTGCGGAAATGGTCATAGTCAAACCATGTTCAAACCTTATATGAAATATGGTTTTTCAATGGTTGAACATGTCAAAAGAACATGTTCTACCTATGTTTTGGGAATGTTATAACCACGAGTGTCTAAAAGGAATTATTATACAGTGAAATTCATGCACAATGCAGCTTTTGAATATGGACAAATGAACAAGTAGGAAGTAAAAAGGCATTAGCCTTAGTACAGTCGAATGGGAAGCATATTTAATCAACACACAGAATTGCACATCAAAATAGTTCATCACAGACCATTCAATTGCAGTTTATCTAGATCATATATTAATTGTAAAATGTGTGTACATGGTTAGGATTAATTTTGCAAAGTCTACGTTAACACATTTAGTACTTTACAATGTTGTTTTGAAATTAGATTTAAATAAAAGAGTTGTGAGTAACCAAATTGTACATTAATTTTTGACAACTATTTATACATGTTTTTAATTTAAATTGTGTTAATGATCATTTTCAAATATGATATGATATAAATGGACCACTTCAGCCATTTGAAAAAAAGGACAAACATAAAATTCAAAATATCTGGTGTTGGCAAAACAGTGTCCAAATATTCCAGAATAAGTCGACCTCTTATGGTTATGATTTAAGTTTCAGGACCATGATATGGTAGTGTTTTTGCTGTTAACTGTCAACATGATTATAAACAACTGCTTTGATTATGAAATAGTAATGTTACGGACATAGTCAAAGTAACTTTTAGTTGGAACGAAACCATTTCAATGTCACCAATTTTGAGTTGGCAAATCATGGCAAAATCATTTTTTGACCATGTTCAAAACATGGTCCACTTTGTTATGTTCGAGATCATTTTCGCAGTGTTACAAGTTATAAGTATGTTTATAACAAAAGATAAAAAATAGGAATTTCAGTGAAAAAATAGGGCATTTTTAGGAATTCCCTTTGCATTTTTCATTGTTTTAGGAATTTTAGTCAAACTGGAAAAAAATTAGGATTTTTTAGGAATTTTATGGACGCTGGACATCCTGAATTGTTTGTTCAACTTCTGTTATTCTGTTTGATTCAACAAATTAGACAGATTGTCAAACACATCTAATGGTAGTGTCGTCAAATTGTTATTAGCTAAAATTAGTGTCTCCAGCTTTGTCTGCATTGTAAAAGCATTTTTGTGCACTTCTTAATTTCTTTATATGATAGATCGAGAAATATTAAACCATGTATCTTCATGAATATAGTATATGCTACATTTTGCATTTTACTATTGATTATATATATTCTAGATATAAATCCGACCAGGGTAACATCATTATTGAAGTTCAGAATGCAGTCATATATATAGAGACACTTCTTTTCATTGATTTATTGCCTTAACTATCACTTTCTTTAAAGGAGGGAAGGGGTATGATATCTAGATCTGGTGTGTTGAAAAATACATTAGTCCATTGAAAAGTCATTTCACTCGATGTCAAATTTGTGTATTTTAACCCGAGCCGTTGAAGCTTTGGCAATTCACTTTGTATGAAGGAGATGTTCATATTATACATTTCCTTCCTACACCCCTGAAGATCCAATCCAGTTAGCTGATCAAATGGGCCGCATTCCTCCTAGAAGAAAGATTTTCTTTTTCTAAAACTTGTTTCGTTTTTATAGTTTTCTGTACAAAATAGACTTGAAGATAACTCTCTAAGATTTTTCGAACTAGAGCAATATGCATCTGAATGAATGTATGATACATTTGTGATACTCATGGTAAAAATGTTTCCATACTGTTGAAAATTTGCCAATTCCTCCATATATACAGAACAAAAAGTTATTGATAAATCGAAGAAAACATCAAGTTTATAAATTTTCCCATTGGTTTCAAAACATAGAAAGTGAATATCACTATTATCTATGCATCGGAAATTGACACCTGATTAGAGTTTAGTTATGTTCACTATAACATGTTTAGTTAAGTTTTTGTAAATTTCATCCACGTTCATGATACATCCGCTTTGGTTTTTCCATATTATACACGACAATGCGTCTACATATGAATCAGGTGAATGTTTTTGATCCGCCTCTATCAACTTATATGCACAAGTGTTGTTATATTCACACTTTGCAATAATCCGAGTAAGACTGAAAACTAAAATAAATATTTCTAAAATGCTTGTTACTGCCGTTTTCAAATAATGGATTTGGCACAAGGTCTTGATTTAAGAGTGACAGAACACAAAATTCCCAGTTTAGAATGTGCTATACAGAAATAAAATAAATAAGTATCAGTAAAAATTATTTATATTGTCAAGGAAAGCATTGATTAAAACAATTGCTCAGATAACAAGAATTCAGTAGGCTAAACACTTTTGCCAACTGACTTCAAAATCAATTGATGCATGACAGAGTGGTTAAGCACGCACCGAGAACAAATAGACTTTGGACAGGGGACAACACCAACTTGCATTATTATAGCGGTGGATTGAAATTAAAACGTGGAGAATTTCATATAGATATAGATTTAATATTTGAGCATGGCACGCAAAGAAAGAAAACATGAAAACACTGAAGTTCGGTTTAACTCTCACAATGAATCAAAGACGCATAATAAGTCTACTGTAAAAGGTTTACTCATGACGCAATCATCAAGCATAAGTTAGATATAAGCACATCTACGAATTTCATAAATAAATATAAAAAACAACAACACAGAAACAATCAATCATAAATTTATATGAAATAATAAACTTTAAATAAAATATTCTTTGTAACTGGTGGATATATGTAAAGTTATATTACATTTTTGAAATAGTACAAAACAACTATATGCTTATAACGGAACAATTAAAAGGATAATGATATTTTAGTTGAATATGTATAGGAAAATATATACAGCTTGCTACTCTACCCAATCAGCAATTCAATGATTAAGCTTAAATTTATAAACATTTTAAAAGACACATTAATCATTGCATTGTTTCTATTTACGAGTATAAAATAAAAGCATCATATGTTGCATTTGAGTGATATTGACTTTGTTTATCAAATGGATGGAAACCACAATACAGAAAAAGTAAAACCTTTATTGTAAAGCGTTCGAATGTAATACAGTCTAAAATGTCCATGAAGCCACGTGTATTAAGCGACATTTGTTTTATTCGACCACTTTAAATTCCCCCTTATATATCTTTAAAGATATACTATGCTCATCTTTAAGTAAAATATCTTAATCGAAGAAACTTAAAAAAAACTCTAAAATTCTTACTAAATATGTCTAATTCAAACAAAAAATGAATAATAAACTTTATTGGAAGTCACGTTCTCTAATACAGGACAAGTAAAGTTGATATTTTCTTTAGAAAAAAACTGCCAGTTTTTTTACGACACTATATATTCATATTGTGACGACTTATGTGTGTAGAGTTTTAAACATGACATATCAACTTTTTATCAAGTCAAAACATGTTTATTTCTTATTTACAAAGAGACTGTGTAGCAATTATTGGCGTCCGCGCCGAAGCGCAATGATCAGATTTTGTGAAAGGGCGACAGCAACTTCTCGGGCCTTTTTCGTCGGTGATAATAGCCGATCATTCCGATTGGTATGAGGGTTTTTTGATTATCAAAACATGAAATGTCGCGAACAATGGCAACTGGAGAATTTCGCAATGCAAACATATTCAAATGAAATAATCTTTTCCGTCAATAATCGCGCTTTTCGAGTTTTTTATTAATAATTTTGTAGTACACAGTGGATTATTATGGTTTGTTATTGTTGTACATGTATCCGTTAGGTGTAGAGTGATGACCTAGTCCGAAAATCTATTTATAGAGGGATGTACTATTCGCCGGTCTCCTATCGGTACTTCCCGGTCTCTCCCGGTCTATTTTGACCGGGATTTACCAATCTCCTACGCAGTGATCTCCCTTTACATGATGGGATCACTGCCATCACAACATTTTCGGTAAGATTTTTGACGATATGAATTTTTTCAACTTTTATATTTATTTAAAAATGTAAACACGTTTTTGCTAATGTTTCAAGACCGTTAGGTGTTAGATGTGAACTAAAATAAAAAAATAATTTTGGAAACATAAATATTATGAAAATAATTTTTAAAAATTTTAATACCGCACCGTTTATTTTCAAAACAATGGCCCCACTCGAAAGAGAAATCATTTAAGTAATTATTAATTTCGACTCTATGATTTTTTTTTCAATCATATCGACATATTTGAGACCAGAGTTCATGTTTTAATGTCCCTGTTTATTACAGATAAAACATTTTTTTCAATGATTTCATTGGCGTATACGCCATTTTTACACGATCATTTAATAAGATTATCATCACGTGATTTGTGTGAAGGCAGTGGTTACTGGCCGTAGCGTAACCGGTGCGCGGAGTTTGGGGACTGGCTAATAGTGGTACCACACGTTTATTGTCCTGTCTCCCCCGGTTTTAGAGTATATGTTTAATATCGACAGATAAATAAGTTTTTTTGTTTTTTTCAAAATGAATGTTTGTCACTTAGTTTGGTTACAATAATTAATAAACAAAGATCAACTCTCCAAATTTATTTTTATTATACATAAACATACAATTCGAAAAAAAAACACTAACAACAATAGCATGTTTCATTTTATATAGATGAGGTAAAACAATAAATATGTACAATAATTGAGTAAAAAGGTACATTTTTATGGTATTAATATGATACCATCAACTTTGAATTATTTTATTTTATTTGTTATTCGTGTTTAGTAAAGATGCAGAGGAATTATTCTAAGTTACAAATTAAATTTTATGAATTATTCAATTGATTGATAATTTAAAAAATGATAAATAAAAATACAAGTGTACATGTACATGGTTTAAGAATAAACAATATAATACAATATAATATAATTTACTGACGTTTAACAGTTATTTTTTACTGATAATCGTAGGTCAATATGACAATTGAATTCTTAAAATTTATTTTACAATTTTCATAAAAAAGTAGTAAACGTAAAAACTCAGTATTAAAATAGCACATGAAACACAAAAAAAAAAGAAAGAAAAAGAAAACATTATTCACAAAATATGTAAAAATATATTAAAATGAATATTACAATTATTGTATAATAAAACAATTATGCTCAACATGGTAATATAACCAGTGTCATATTGTTACTATGTGTGAACAGGGTCTTCGCTAATAGTGATAACATAATAAGGGATAAAACACAAGTGTGGTGTTGGTCATGCCTTACACAGATGGATTAAGAAATGATTGTATATATCCGTTGCTATTAATAATCACGATATTACATTTATGACCATAAAAAAATAACAATTATAATATAATATTATATATGTATTTAATTATTTCAAGAATGTAAAAGAACTCTTGATTTTGACTACTATTTTGTATGGTCCAAAGAAAATACCACATGAACTTGAAATTCTATCGAATCACCAATATTAATGATAATATCTAAAAAATACCCCCTATATAGTATAAATAAACTCAAACCATATGGAAATTATATGTTGAATATCATTGACCTGTATATTTTGGATATTATCGTTAATATTGATAAACTTTCAAGTTCCTGTGGAAAAAACAAGCAAGTAATTTTCTAATCTATAGCATGCCTATCAAAGTTCATAATGAACAATGTCTTTCGTCCGCTCATTCATAAGTGATAAACAATTCTGGTAAAAACCAATTAACCATTGAAAAGTCATCATATGTCTACTAGTTCATCTTCACGTGCTGCATTTCTTGCTTGGACGCCTTTGATGCTTTGCATCAATGCTTTTCTTGTTAATATTTTCTGATATCTAATTTGAGCATAGTATAGCTATATTACGCGACTTTTGCTCAACGTGACCGGCGACCGCTAATTAGTCAGCTAATTAATATCAATCTTTTCATTTAGCGACAACTTTTAGGATTTGACTGCAGACAAACTCTGCTGTGCTCCTACCTGTCAAGTGCTTCTGTTTTTTCTCGTGAATTCACAAGCGTCACGGATTTATATTACAATTAAATTTAATAATATTGAAAATTAAAATCCGTGCAAGCGTCAACAATCAAAACACAATATACATGCAATTATAATATAAATGTGTGAAAAACTCTAGTTCCCAAACCGTTTTTATCGTATGCAAATTAAGTTAATTATACGCGTGACGAGAATTATCCATTTAAATCGATAGAACAATGCAACGCTCCGCCCCTACTGAGATGGTGTATACGCTTCGTTGTTGATATTTAGACTGCATTGAATTGACCTTGACATTGATCATCAGTTAAATTAATCATTACAATTAGAGGTAGTTTGTTCATTTCAAATGAAAAATGCACCACAGAAACCATCTTCAGAAATTAGATTTTACCTGTCGAAAAAAAAATCAAAACTGTTTTGTCAATAAATATCAGAAGTTTTTTTATTTGAGCATCTGTTGAGATGATCGGAGCGTTATAATTATTAAACATTTATATAAATTAAGTTTGAAGTAAAAAAATCTTCCCCACCGCCCAGGAAATATGTCATGTATATTTTTTTACTTTTTTCATGCTTTGTCTTAAGAGACCGTTTTGTTAAGCGACCATTTTTGTTTTCCCCCCAGCGCGGTCGCTTAATAAACGTTTGACTGTAAGAAGAAAAATGCATACTAAAATAAACAAGACACTTCCTGTTGTTACTGACGGAAAAACTACATGTTCGTGGAGGAGCAAATTTGTTTTGCAAACAAACACTGAATCAGGTAATAAAATCATTTTTTCAAAACTGCTTGTGTTATATTTACATTCAATACTTTTCCAATGCTCGACTGGATTCGTTCGTATAAGAAGCCATGATTTCATCCATTTCATCTTGCAATCACAAATGAATGGGTTGCCTAAGAGCGTAACTTTGGACATGTTCATTGTCGCCAACTGTTCAGGTAGATGTGTCAAGTAATTGTGGTCTAACTTCAAAATTGAGACGTTGCCCAGAGCTTTTGCAGTAACGGTTGTGATCTGGTTTATTTTATTATGAGAAACATCTAGAAAAGTGATATTTTTCATATAGTCCCTTGGTGATATTTCAAGTAAGCTTGAATTACGGAACCACAATTCTAATCTTCCAGCTGGCATCACCGAAGGTAAGGAAGTCATATTGATATTCCGACAGTCAATGATTAGTTTGCTGGCGTTAAAACGCTCAAAACAAGCACATTCATTAGGACAAGAATGGCTGTAAATTGGATAATATATTTCTTCAGGTTCGTGGAGGAGGAAATTTGTTGTGCACACAAACGCTGAATCGGGTAATGAAATCAATTGTCCAAAACTGTTTGTGTTATATTTACATTTAACCCTTTCCCAATTTTCAACTGGATTCGTTCGTATAAGAAGCCATGATTTCATCCATTTCATATTGCAATCACAAATGAATGAGTTGCCTAAGAGGGTTATTTTGGACATGTTCATTGTCGCCAACTGTTTAGGAAGATGTGTCAAAGTATTGTAATCTAACTTCAAAGTTGAGACGTTGCCCAGAGCTTTTGCAGTAACGGTTGTGATCTGGTTTATTCTATTATGAGAAACATCTAGAAAAGTGATATTTTCCATATAGTCCCTAGGTGATATTTCAAGTAAGCTTGAATTACGGAACCACATTTCTAATCTTCCAGCTGGCATCACCGAGGGTAAGGAAGTCATATTGATATTCCTACAGTCAATCATTAGGGTGTTGGTATAATTACGTTTAAAACAAGCACATTTATCAGGACAAGAATGGCTGTAAATTGGACAATATATTTCTTGAGGTTTTATCGTGGTCATTAATCGTCCTTTGAGCTCCGATGGTTCTTGACATTTCCAGTCAATTTCATGTATACGCAAAGCTTCTGACATTGTAATAAAAACTTTCGAACACCTACAGTCTATTGGATTGCCCTTTAGATTAAGGTAAAATTTCATGATAATAGACATGAAATTAGTCATTAGATCTTCTGATAAATTCTTTAAATTTATCGGTATCTTTGTAATATCATTTTGAGACAGATCAAATATTGAAGGGATCTTTTGTTCAGTGTTAACCATTTTTGAATAGCTTGCATTGTACAGCAGTGGCTGAAGCCCACTAGCATTGATACGGCAATGGCGCATATCGACAAACTGTATCTTTGGAGCATAGAAAACATTCAATGGTAAATTTTCTAAAGGGTTTTCGGCAAGAATGACGTAACGAATTGAGTTAATCTGCGACTCAAGAAAGTCATACGGTAATGTTATTATGGAATTGTGTTCCAAATTTAGGTTCTCCAATTTAGTCAAATGTTTGAAATATCGTTGTTCAACTTTAGTTATTCTGTTTGAAGATAAGTCTAAATTCAACAAATTAGACAGATTGTCAAACACATCTAATGGTAGTGTTGTCAAATTGTTATTAGCTAAGATAAGTGTCTCCAGCTTGGTCTGCATTATAAAAGCATGTTTGTCCACTTCTTTGATTTCATTATATGATAGATCAAGGACTATCAAATCGCGTACTTTCATGAACATAGTATCTGTTAGTTTTGGCATTTTGTTTTTCTTTATGACTATTTCAGATATATATCCGACCAAGGTAACATCATTGCTGAATTTTACAATGCTGTCATGTATAGCGATAATTCTTTTTATGGAATAACTGCCGTACTCATCACTTTCTGTATAAAAGGTTATGGGTTTGATACTATCAAGATCAGAGATGTTGAAAGATTCATTTGTCCATGGAAAAGTCATTTCACTTAATGTCAAGTTCGTGTATTTCAACCGAAGCTGTTGAAGTTTTGGAAATTTACTTTGTACGAAATAGGAGTCAATATTATACATGTCCTTCCTACATCCCTGAAGATTCAATTCAGTTAGTTGATTAAATGGGTCGCATTCCTCCCAGAAGAAAGATTTTCTTTTTCTTAGACTTGTTTCGTTTTTATAGTTTTCTGTACAAATTAGACTTGACGATAACTCTCTAAGATTTTTCAAACTAGAGCAAGAAGCATCTGGGTGTATGTACGTTTCATTTGCGGTACTAATAGAAAAAATGTATCCATATTGTTGAAAATTCGCCAATTCATCCATATATACAGAACACAAAGTTATAGACAAATCAAAGAAGACATCAAGTTGATCAATTTTCCCATTGGTTTCAAACGATAGAAAGTGAATATCACTATTATCTATGCATTGGAAATTTACACCTGAATAGAGATAAGTTATGTCCACTGTTACATGTTTTGTTAAGTTTTTGTAAATGTCATCCACGTTCATAATACATCCGCTTTGGTTATTCCATATTTTATACGACAATACGTCTCCATATGTATCAAGTGAAGGTTTTTGATCTCCCTCAATCAACTTATATGCACACGTGTTGTTATATTCACTCTTTGCTATAACCCGAGTAAGACTTAAAACGAAAAAAGATATTTCTAAAATGCCTGTTGCTGCCATTTTCAGAAATGGGACTGTAAATGATCAAATCGGGTATTTATTTCCTTCACCATATCCGGTTTCTGATTATAGCTGTGACATTTTGTACGTGCAGGAATCTTGTTATTTCATGTTTCAGTTACCACATTAAGAATTACGTAAATTCAGAGAATAGAAATGCATTCTTAAACTTCCGCTAGATGAAATGGTATTTCCCCACGAAACCATATTGCTCAACCTAAAGTAGATTTTGTTTTCCAAATACATTGAAGCTTAATTGTCTATTCCAAATTTTGTCAATCAGTTCAAAGGTAAATTTCATGTACTATAAATATTTTTATCAAACCTCCATTTAAAGAAAAGTTTATGGATAAATCATTTATACACGATTGACTACATTAATTACTTGGAAAGCATTGAAATCAAGTGACTGCTAAGGTCTGGAATATGGTTATAAACAAATAAACAAAACAAATAAATACATGTACATCCTATTGTCAGGTTTTAGATTTTCTTGTATATATAGGATCATTTATATAAAATCTAAAAACATCCACAAAAACTTAATCTGTATGGATGATTCATTTAATCAAATGGCATTATATGATGAAAATAAATAGCCATTTTCTAAATATGGTAAAAGAGGAATGTCATTAATTTTATTGTCAATTATTCGACAACAATACGATTTTAACAATATAATCATGACTAAACAATGCAAAAATATAGCTTATTTGAGTTTTATTCCGAAGAAGCTTATGCTTATATTATGTGTCTGACGATATACAAGAGGTCAAATAAGAATTGTTATGTTCTATTGATAAACTTGGCGGACATCTCTCTATTTATTTCCTTTTAAGGCACGTGCGTGTGCGCCTGTGCGTACGTGCGTGTATGTGTGTGTGATCGTTTGGAAAATATTAAAGTTTTATTTGTCGAAACACCGAAATGAAACACGGATTCAGTATTCAATGTGTTAGGGCATATCTTTTCAATATTATAAATTAATTACTACAAACTTGTAAAAAGAAGTTTCACATAAAAATTAAATATACACATACAGTTTGTTTACCTTTGCTTCACTACAACATATTTGTTGTGTGAGAGTTATCAAAATGAGCGTTATCAAAATTCGTATCTAAATTATATTCCATAAAAAGAGAGGAAAGAATTTAAGGTTCAGTGCTAGTTTCAGAATCCACAGGGCACTTATTTTATTTACTGACAATTAAATGCCGCTAAAATGTTTGTGAAAATAACTAAATGTTTAGAAAAGAAATGAAGGTATATGCGACAACAATATTCCATTCAACAAAGCTGCAACAAGTCTGAGTTATAAAATTTTAATATAAAATATCTAAAACTTTGGTTGTCAGTTTCGTTACAACAAAAATGTTAACCATTGAAAGCAATGTGCAGGGCGCACCTTGGTTGGCCACTTAGTCATTTAGAAATCTTGAATCTTATCAAAGGGAAACTACTCTGTTATTTTCTTAAAGAGAGAATACTATGTAAGTACTTTTTTATTTTAGATTACATCCCTTATATGAGGACAAGTTGTCTGGTACCTTAGGTAACCAACTTTCACATGATTGTAACCGAAGGGATGCCCCACACAGAGCAGGTTAATAGAAATATTGTTTCAATTAATTCTTGACGTTTTTAAAAAGAAGTAAAGAAGAAGAAAAACAAACAAAAACAAAAGAAAAATAGCAAAAAAGAAAGAAAGATATATTAAGTTTCATAAAAAAATCATTACCACCCCCCCCCCCACACACACACACACACACACCTCTCATATTTTCATTTCACACTGAATAATTCTTAATTTGAAAAAAGGCTCCATCATATTCAGGGCATCTGGGAGGTTAATTATAGGAGCAAATATGTATGGAGTTCAACTGTAATGTTTGGTATATTTGTATGATTTTGTGAAACTAAATGGTAATGTCTATCAATTGGAACGTCCTCGGCTAATATCTTTAAAAGCCTTGGAGTTAATATGGATTGAAAGTAGTTCTACCACGTGGTTTCCGATGTAAACAGAAACAGAGAGCGTAAAACGAAGTTTATATTTGACATCCAAAGGAAAATAAAGTATGTGTCGGTACAATTATGATTGAAAAAATGTCTGACAACACTTTTTTATTAAAAATAGCCACTGATGTACAATTTTAAACAAATCCAACTTAATATCAACAAGTTTACATTTTGTACTTCCGGTTTGTACAACCATAATATAATGAATATATAAATAAATGTATTTTTGCTTTTGCATCTATGAATTCATTTATTTTAGGTAAAGTTATTTTAGTACTTGATATATTGAAAATAAACTTGTCAATAACTCCGTGTTGTTTCGAAGCGCAGGTTAGACCGAAATACCATATCCGTTCTGTGTATTCATACTATTGTGATCGAGGTCCTTATCAGGAGACTGGCGAAAAGGGCCGAAAAGTTACGATTTAATGTCCATACGAAATTTCAGGAGTATTTCTTAATAAAACAAAGAGACATAACTGTAACATAAATTTCAAAGCAGAAATTTTGGTTGTTTTTGAAACAATTAATAAACACCCCAAAAATACACTACCTAGTGCTTCATGGCGGGGATAGGTCACCCGTACCTTCGGTATTTCAAGCTACGTGGCCAAATATGTTAGACATGAAAATGTATAATAGCCTTTCAAAACGACTTGAGTTCGGTGTGTCATTTCAATGTATAAAAAACTAACACAACTTCCTTTCAAAATTATGTATGTAATCAATTTATGAGTGGTTTATTGTAATCAATATTTTGATGTCATAAATTATGACGCTAATGTCATTAATGAATATTATATATTTTACAAGTATGTCTATATATTATACTTACTTTGATCATTTGTTCGTTAATGTATAGATGAATAAAGTATTTAAAAAAGATGTGTTGCTTAATATTTGTACAATGTTTTGTTTTCATTTATGGATTTTTTGGATTAATATTTTTATATGTTTTTGTCTCTCTTTTATGTATATATTTAGATTATAAAATACTTAGTTCATTCTTTCTCTTACAGGTTTTATTTTTCTTCGTATATGTGGATTTTATTCCGATTAATAACATTGTTCCTTTTTTTCCAGCTTTTACCATTTGTGAATATAGTTTGACATATTAATGAAAAAATGTTTTGGCTTCGCTCAATGTGTACATATTTGTGTACATTTTAAATCATTATTCTTTTTTCAGGTTTTACTATCGTATATACGTATATACATGTGTTTATATTTTTATGATGTGATCTTTTGTATTGTGTTATGCTTTTATGTAAATATAATGTTTATGCTTAAGAAATTAATAAATAATAGAAACGTTTAAATTCACTTAATGTGTATATATATGTATTTGTGTAATTTTTAAAACCAGTATTCGTTTTTTTCTTCAGGTTTTACTTATATATGTATATATATATTTCTATGATCTTTTGTATTGTGTTATGCTTTTATGTAAATATGACTATTATACTAAAGAAAATAATAAATAATAGGTTTAAATTTTCAATATCTTGTCTTTAATTGCATGAAAATTGTGATAAAACACACATTAAGACCCACGATAATTGACGTGCCCATTATACAAAGGATATTTTTGTACTATATAAATTAAGCTCGCCGAAACCACTACCTGTTTTATTATTTTTACATAGTTGATAAAAATACTGAATTCTACTAGACGAATACACAGCTATGAAAACTAAATTGGACGAGGCACTTGTCGAGACTGACATAGATTGTTGCAGCTGTGTACGAATACAATACAGACAGTTTTGTTCTAAACCTAGTTTAATTCATGTCCTATTTATTTGAAATCACCATATTTTGACATTTTGAACGAACTCGGTACTCGATTTCTTTAAGGATTTGATATCGACTTTGGGCTCTCAAAAACGAAAACAAAAGTAGATGGGATGTTATATGGATTTGATATAGAGTGTGGAGATGAGGCCAAATTGATTAGATTTGATCCATATGATTATGATATCTATTTGAACGTCACGTGTTGCAATTTGGTTATCTTTTTTTTAATTTAGATAATGTCCGAATTAATAAATAGGAAATTATTATCAAATGATTAATTTTGACATAATCTAATTTTATTTTTCTGAATAAACCATAATATATAGCATTGTAGAATAAAACAAAGCATTAATCTAGTTCCATCATTCTGACCGATGAAAGTACCTGTACACGATCAGGCCTCGCTATACAACATTTTAACATGATACTCAGAAATTAAATATGGAAAAGCAAGACGCATTGGTAGCAATGAAAACAAAATTGATTAAGTGAATGTTGGAGACTCCAATGTTAAATGTTGAATTCTGCTTAAGCTGATGCTAGGGCGCATGACGTCGCTTGAAACAATAGGCACTTGGTTTCGGGATAAATACCCTTTTGAGAGGCATGTAGAACTCAAATTTGTTTGAATGTAACGATTTTTAACGTAGACGTCACAATTCTTAAAACGTCATTTTTCGGATGTTACAAACATTTAGTACTATGTAGATCTATTCAATCAATGTTACTCACTAGATTGATAGGAACACGGTAAACATATTTTAGAAAGCACTTATCACACATTAAAATATACTCACAAGTTTGCTCACTTCTCACACAATGGACACCCAATGTGCATCACTCACATTTCGAACATAACACTCTGAACGGAATTTATACACATAACCTTTATAGTGAACAGTACTCCTTGAGAACTACATACAATGTGGCCATTAATGATCTCACACCGGCTGCAGGTACATACATTAATATTGCTCGAGAGTAACTGTCTACGTCAGGAAAGAGCTAGGCTCTTACAAGTTCCCGCGAAACAGTTACCCAAGACCTAATTAATATTTCCATTCGTGACGGCATGCGTTCTTTGATTTTTTTAATTGCATATTTCATATTTATCATGTCTCTGAAAGAAATAATGAAAACTTATTTTTTCCACTTACATTTTTGTTGTACTTTTTTCTTGCAGTAGCGGATGAATTTACAAACGTTATTTATAACGGCGAAATGACGTATTTCAAAGAATGCAATGCATCCATTTAAGGCACGCGAGAATGACGCCATTTATGACTTGTCTTACACAGAAAAAGGGTGTAAATAATAGAAAATCCTGGCAGATAGGCAAAGAATAACTCTCTTAACACTACTCACAACATGAATATCACTCATTGACTGACCATTGCTTACAATGTGTTCATTGGACACACAGAGGACAGTATTGAATGAGTGTACTTTGGTCGCAACGTTACCATAAACTCTACTCACTTACCACAAATTTTATCGGAATTAGTGCTCTTCTCTATGTAAACATGTTAAAACTCGACGATTGATTACAAGCGTACGCATCGTTTTGGTCATGTGTGCATGTATTTCGTGTTAAGGTAATTTTATAATTTTTAGATTATGCTTTCCTACAGATGACACCAATTGCATATGTTCTGTTCTTTAGAGAATTATGTCAGTATTTCGGATTAACAATGAAGTAGATTGTATGATTTAGTAAAGAACAGAAGAAGAGAACATATTAAAAACGTATCCAATACAGTTCATTTTCTGTCTTATGTTTTGCAATTTTAACCATGTCTACGTACCTATTGTGAAACAACTATCATAACAAATGTTGTACTGTTTCTGTTGTAATCCTAAAAAGGAATCAGCAGGCTATATAACAATATTATATTCACCTAAGCACGCCACTGGTACTATACATATCGAGGAAAGTACGATTTGATCATTTTATGTAGGTAGAAAACATATTTGTAGTGAAAAGATTTATATGTAAAAGGTATGCACATCAAAAAATCATCAATTTTGCATACAGTATAATCAAATAAGGATACAATGTATGTATACAATGATATTACATTTTACTGTGACAATTTTATGCTTACATCATATGTAATGCATATTCGTAAACCTGTAAACACGAACACGCGTATTGAAACAGTTAAAGTTCCATTGTATTTCAATAAAATGAATAGAGAATAACAAATGAGGTACATTACTTTTGTGAGCGGCGTATTTACAAAAACTGTACTGAATATGTATAAAAAATCAAATTGTAACTTTAACTTAAATGAATAAGACATATTCCGTATTAAATAATTTTTTACTTCGATCTAATTATGAAGATTCCTTTTCTTCTTTATCCTTACTATTTTTCAACTATATTTTCATCACAATCCAAGCTGAAATCTTGACATAATGCATGTAATAAACGATCTTTAAAATTTTCTTCTCTGATACTCCCGGTCACAAAATTATTGAAATAATTGTTGACCTCGTTTGTGAAGTCATCACCATGTAAAAGGCCCGATGTAAATAACAGCAAATAATTTTTATTACGTAATAGTGATTTTGACATCACTGTTGTAAGGATAAACATCTTAACATCATCATCAAATGTAGAGCGCGTAATGATGAAAATAAAATGCTTCGAGGAGTCAAGTTTCCTATGAATTTCTTCACGGATATCTGCTCCAGGTGTGAAGTCGTGCTCAAGAACTTTGATATTTGTCCCGTTTTTTGATAAGTATGGGATAAGATCATGTCGGATCTCAAAGTCCAGATCATCAGGGTATGACACATAAATCAATTCATTTCCACGATAATCATCTGTGTTAGAGACAGTTTCTAGCATAGGGATATTGCTTTCTTCTTCACGTTCATCATTTAGCGTTTTGCCTAGAGTATTTGAACTAATCTTTGGCATTAAATACTCAACACTTGCACACATATATTTGGAAAACTTCTTTATATATCTACCACTCGTAAGAAACCTCTTCAAGTTGTCATTTGTGCAGGATCGTTTATTTACATCGCTATCAACTACCAATATCAGAAGGTCAAGCTCATTTTTCACAGCTTTCTCGTATGCTATATTCCAAGCAGTTATGATTAAATCATTTGCAAGCATATCATCAGTCCAGCAAAATATTATTCTTTTTGATCTTTCAATGAAAATCTGGACGTTTTGAAGAAATGAAAAACCAACGATCATATCTTTATAAAAATCAACAACTTTGTAGCCTTTGCACTTCAATTTGTCTACCAAGTTGTTTTGTATGAATTCTCTGTCCATATACGAGAACAAGATAAAAGCATCATACGTTGAATTTGAGTGATTTCGACTTTGTTTATCAAAAGGGTGGAACCCACAGTACAGAAAGAGTAGAACCTTAATTGTAAAGCGTTTGAAAGCAACAAGCAGTGAAATAGAGACGAGTACAAACAAAATACTGCCGATTATTATTGACGGTAAAGTTACATTCCCGTGGAGGTGTGATTTGACAGACTCTCTGCATACGAACACTGAATCTTGTAAGGAAATCACTTGTCCCACCCTGCTTGTATTATATGTACATTCAATATTATTCCAATCTTTTACTGGATTCGTTCGTATTAAAAGCCATGATTTCATCCATTTAATCTTGCAGTCACAAACAAACGGGTTGCTTGAGAGAGTTACCAAAGACATGCTACCCGTCGCTAGTTCTTCAGGAAGGTGTGTTAAGTTATTGTGATCTAACTTCAAAGTTGAAACGTAACGCAAAGCTATCACGGTAACGGGTGTGATACTGTTTATTCTGTTATAAGAAACGTCTAAAACGGTAATATTTTCCATATAGTCCCTTGGTGATACTTCAATCAAATTCGAATTACTGAACCATAATTCTAATTTTCCTATAGGCATTACCGTTGGCAAGAAAGTTATATTGATATTACGACAGTCAATAATTAACTTTCTTTTCCACTTTGAGTCAGCTACAAATGTACTGGTCCCAAAGCGTTCGAAACAAGTACATTTGTCAGGGCAATGTTGTATGTTAATTGGACAATATGTTTCTCTAGGTTTTATTGTCGAGACTAATCGACCTCTAAGCTCCTGTGGGTATTGACATTTCCAGTCAATATAAATTCCTTGTTGTACGTACATTTCTGCTAATGTTGTCGTCAATAAAATTGTACATGTACAGTCTATTGGATTATCTTTCAAATTTATGTAAAATGCCCGAATAACAGACTTAAATTTCGCCACGGCCGCTGTTTGCATCAAATTGACCGGTATTTCTGTAATATTGTTTTGGGACAAGTCAAATGTTCGTGCCTGTAATGGAACCTTCCCCACTGTCCCTAAAGGATCTAATAGAAGAGACTGAGAATAAGCTGTTTGTAATTCGAAAAGATTTATGTTGTCCAGCAGTGATTTCAGTCCGCTAGAATGTATACGGCAATGACGCATATCGACGAGCAGTACCTTTGGAGCGTAGAAAGCATTCAAGGGCAAAGTCTCCAAAGGGTTTTTAGAAAGAAAAACGTACTTAATTGTGCTAGTCTGTGACCCAAGGAAGTCATGTGGTAAAGTTACAATTGCATTTTGTTCTAGATTAAGTTCCTCTAGCTTATCCATATACTTAAAATACCTCTGTTTAATTTCGACAATTGTGTTTAAAGATAAGTCTAAATACAACACATTAGTCAAATTGTCAAACACACTTTCTGGTAGTGTGGTCAATTTATTATTGGCTAAGTTGAGTTGTTTCAAGTCATTCTGCATTGTAAAAACATTTCTGTCCACTTCTTTGATTGCATTATTTGATAAATCCAGAATTATCAAACCACGAATTTTCATGAATATAGCATCTGTTAGTTTTGGCATATTGTTATTGTTTATAACTATTTTTGATATATATCCGACGAAAGTAACGTCGTATGTAAAATTCACAGCGCTGTCATATACTTCGATACTTCTTTTAATCGAGTTATTGTCGTGTTTTTCACTTTTTTCATAATATGAAAGATATTTGATAATATCCATATCAGATGAGTCGACAAAGGTATTTGTCCATGGAAACGTCAGCTCACTGAACGTTAAATTCGTGTTTTTTAACCAGATTGTTTGAAGATTTGGAAATTGCCTTTGAATGAAAGATGCTTTAATATCATATAGGTTCCCATGACAGCCTTGAATGCGTAAATTAAAAAGCTGTTCAAATGGGTCACACGCTTCCCAGAAGAAAGAATGAGGATTTGTTTGGTTTTCATTGTTTTCTGCACACACTAGACTAGAAGAAAGCATTCTAAGATGTTTTAAGCTATAGCAAGATGCACCTGGGTGTATGTACGATACGTTTGTTGTAACCACAGAAAAAATATGTCCATATTGTTGAAAATAAGCTAACTCATCCATGAAGAGGGAGCAAACTGCTAGTATTATTTGGACTGAGATTTCGTGTTTATTAATTTTTCCCGAAGATTTTAAATATGTTAAGTGAATATCATTCCCATCATCAGATGATTCGCAAAAAAATCCGAGTGATACAAAGAGTTTAGTTCTGTTAACTGTAATAAGTTTTGTTAAGTTTTCATAAATGTCATCCACGTTCATGATACATCCGTTTTGATTGTCCGATATTCTATATACCATTTCCGCATCAAGTGATAGATTAAGTGAATGTTTCGAATTTGATCGTATTAAGTCATAAACGCATGTGTTCCTATGTCCTCGATCTGCATAAACCCACGTAATACTTACAACTAAAAAGAATATTTCTAAAATGTTTAATCCTTTCATTTTCAGAACTTATCACTTACTTGGTTGAATCGTTAATTTTTTATAACCTTAAAGTTTTTTTCTAATAATAGCTATGACACTTTATCGGTTTTAAAGAGGTGAAAATTTTAATCCCTCTTTCATATCCGTTTCACAAACAAAATCATGTGTCCTTTTGTGTAAACCAGGCCATTCATTGACTATGTCCATTGAATTATTCAAGTGAAACAACATATATGTATACCCGGATTATAAAAGAAATCTAACCTTTATATAGCATTTACAAGCCACTAAAAAGGTCCATTGTACAGTATTGTTTAACCTGTAGAGATCTAGGCCCTTCGCATCAGTGATTTATATCCCGAAGAAAAAACATAAAGGTGTTGCTACAGTCATATCGGCGGTGCCATTAATGTCCTAACACTATAATCGTGCTCATAACTTTTAAATTTCATGATGTATTGTCTTGGCTACAACAACCCTAAGATAAGACCTTCTAGTAGACCCGACTTTTATTCATAAATGACCTTGACCTAAAATGTCAAATATCTAAATGTTGCTTGATTTTGCTTTGTTGCTATTAGTGTCTATAACTTTGTTATTTTGAATGGATTGTCTTCAAAATTGACCTAAACACTCTTTTATAACAGACCTTAATGTTGACCCCTTTTCATAATTCCATTTTATTTAGTTCCGCCCATTGTTTTCTCGTTTAGGGCACACGCATTATTTTACGTTGGGACCATACGCCGCTTTTCAATGGCACGAAAGTGTCCAATTGAAGGTTCCATAATAACCGCCGTATGAACACATCTGCGGATGTTTCTAAATTCAAAATTTCACCTTTACTATCAATAAATGTTAAATTCTGCTTAAACCGGTGCTAGGGGGCGTGGACGGTAACTTGCGCTTTATTTGGGGATTCTTTTCTATTTCTATTTCTCTGTATTTTATTAGTCAGATATTGACCTTCTTTTAACTAGCTATAACTTTATATTAATGAATGATTGTCTTTATATTAAGAAACAACATTTTTTAGGATTAGGCCTTAATGTATATCAAATTGAACGGCACATTAATGACCCTGACCTTGAAATTAGAATTTTTGTATTTTCACTGATTTTTGCTACAATTTACTGTAACTTGGTAACAAATAAATGGATTATCTTTATACTTTGACAAATCAACCTTTTGGATAAGACCTCTAAAAGGTTTCAATGATCTTGAACTCGATCTATAGATTACCTTGGCCGTCAAGGTCAAATTATTGAATTTTGGATAAATTGACATCATTTTGTCATTCATTTACTTATTGGATTTAAACTTGGACATAAACAAATATATAAAATGAATTAGATTTGATCTTGGCATTTGATTGACCTTTACCATCAAGGTTAATTTAATGAAATTCTCTTTTTTTCCCTTGTGACTGGCTATAAATTTGTTATTTATAAATGGTTTAATTTTATATTTATAACATGTTTTATGTCAGGACCTTCATGTTTATCAAACTCAAACTGACATTGAGTCATGTCTGACCCTGACCTTGAAATTCAAATAATTGAATTTTCACTGAATTTTGCTATAATTGGCTGTCACTTGGTAATAAATAAAATGGGTTATCTTCATACTTGGATAAAACAACCGTTTGTACAAGACCTTTTAAAAGATTGAACTGACCTTGAGGTTTGAGTGACATTAACCGTGAAGATCAGAAGATGAGTAAATTTTGCTTGTATTTTCTTAACATTATTATTCATTTATGGAAATGGGTCATACTTGGACAAACCAACAAGTGTGACTAGACAGGCCTAATAAAATACATAGGAGAAAACTTACTATTTCTTCAATTTTCATTTTAAAGATTTGTTTATACCGTTTGCCTTTAGAAAATGTAAAACTGTCTTCGATAGTGTCTGTAACATACTGTATACTGACAAAATCAGAAGTAGATAATACTAATTGTAGTTTTTAATGTATAGTGTTTTGTGTTTGCATTAAATTGAGCTTGTGATCGAGACCGCTTGCATGATTACCTAGGGTTTTCCACGCATTTCCTAGCACCCGCACTATTTGTTTGTTTTGACTTTCTGAGTCATGCCATAACCCAGATTATACAAGCTGTAACGAACTTTTGCAGTGTTAACTTTAATAAAACTTTGCAGTCAATTTTATTTGTTGTAAAATTCTATCGATTTTAATTTACATTTTTTACTCTGTACTTTGAAAAATAAAGTATTTTCTTTTTCTTTTTTCGCTTCGGTTCCACAAAAGGGGAAAAATCATACATACATATATCATATACATACATAGATATATAGATATACACATACGACAAATATGGATAACATCATTTCTTTTAAGACACCTGATGTAAAAATCAGCAAACAATAGAAAAAATAAAGGTCAGGAAAGATAATTGAGCCGCGCCATGACAAAACCAACATAATTGGTTTGCGACCAGCATGGATCCAGACAAGCCAGTGCATCCGTGCAGTCTGATCAGGACCCATGCTGTTAGCTATCAGTTTTTCTACTTGTTATAGGGTTTGTAAGTGAACAGCATGGATCCTTATCAGACTGCACGGATGCGCAGGCTGGTCTGGATCCATGCTGGTCGCAAACGCAGTACGTTGGTTTTGTCATGGCGCGGCTCATATTGTTTATCGACTTCGACCTCTGGCTAATCCAGTAAGCTACGGTTTCAAAAAGGATACAAGCTATTCTAGTTTTATAATTAATAGTTTATCCTATTTAAACCGATGTAAGGTCGGATGTTTAAATGTGCGATATAATGAGCTAAAATCGTATGATATATCATGTTACTCCATGCTCTGATAAGTATTACTTCTGGGTTGTATGTGATTTGTCGATATGTTATTTTAATTTGAACTCGCCACGCTTCCTTCGCATTAATCATCATGATTCTTATATATTTAAATATATATTTCATGATTTATTTTTTTTAGTTAATTTTCTCTTTTGTAGGTGTGCCGCTTCGTATATATATTTATAACTTATATACACTTGCGTATATTAATTAAGACATTCTACCCTCGAAATTAATTTAGATTGTAAATGATATGCAATTATATTTAGGTTCAAAATGTAATAAGGTCGTTCATGTCTTCGAAGAAAAAGTATTTGTTAGTGCCTTTTTGTGATAACAAGGATCTTGTCAAATTGGACAAACGATCAAAGCACATGTTGAATAAGAAGAACAAATTTATATAAAAAATAATGCTCAAAAGAATCACCTGCTTTCTTTCAACAGCTAAAGTTTGCGTAATCTAATCAATATTGATCAGAACGTACGTTATATGCAATCATAGTCCGCACATGTTTATTTTAAAAAGAGACTGTAGTAGCAATTTTCCATATTTTGCTAACATCAAATTTGAGCATTGTATATCTTTAAGTCGGTTTTTATTCATCATTTCGTGTACAAATCAACTTAAATTCAGTAAAGTTATATACAATACACAATATATACAATTAAAAAGTACAATATTTACATTCCAACTATTATGCCTTTAGAAAGCTGTTAACGATATATCAGATTAATCATTTTGTTATATTTAATTGACATTGAGCATTCTTGAATTGATTCTGATCCCAAGACATACTTTTCATTAATAACTTTACCGATAATACTCTATTTTTCATTTGGATGTAAAATAAATACATTCTTTAGGCAATATACACAAAATTTCAAACTCTGCTTTGTTTTTATCTGAAGTCAGTAGGGAAAATTACTTTCAAACCGTATTAACTACGATATTATCATGGTAGTACAGTTAAACACACTTAAGTGTACTAGTTTTGAACTGGCAATGTCAAATTATTTACAAATAAGTAAACTTTTTTTCATCAAAGTGGATATTTAATTATAGATATTATTTTTTTATGTGTTAACATACATGTATATGTTTTGGAGAGATCCTGGCATATTCGAATATATGTTTTATGGAGGAAACCACCTTTCCAATTTAAAAGGTAATCAATCAGGAGAACCTAAATATTGAAATAGATTCGGCTCGAGACAACCTTTTTACATGTTACAGTTTAATTTTATTGTACTGTGTTTGAGAAAGTTATAAACATTAGCTTTAGGCTTTCTGTTTATAAGTGTATAAATTTTCGTGAAATGTGCCATTTCAGGAGCAAACTACTTAAACACCATTTGTTTGATTCCGTTGCGGAGCAGTCTTTGAAGCAATTTGGAGCGGGTTTTTTTGTAGTATGCTTTTTTTGCATAAGAGAATGAAACCCCAAATCCAAGCAATATTTCCGGGAGATTTCTGCGTGGCGTTGACATTTTTGACCAATTATTTGCTTTCTTCTATTTAACAACAGATCGACTGAATATTTTGAAAGCAACATCATAGAGTCAATACCTTTATCTAACTGAGACTGATATAATTTAAATCCATTACTATGCAATGGTCTTACAACTGCATAATTTTAAATGTGATAAAATGGTGCATGCCAAAAACGCGCTTAAGAAAACGTTCTTATTGAAGTCATGCATAATTCGCCTTGGTAAAAATGAACGCTACAATTAAGACGAGTGCAGTTTATTGTAGTAGTTTGGCGGATCTGTTAAATAGTAATTATCCCCCGCCGAAAAGGCGGCGGGGAATATAGAAATAGTCTTCGTCCGTCCGTCCTTCCGTCCGTCCGTCCGTCCTTCCGTCCGACATTTTTGTCCGGAGCATATCTCAAAAAGTATTTGAGGTATCAACTTGAAACTTCATAGGTGGATAGACCTCATTGAGGAGGAGTGCAGTGCACAAGAATGATAACTCTACCCTGCATAATTTTTGAGTTATTGCCCTTTGTTATTTTTCAAAATTAATTTTTGTCCAGAGCATAACTCAAAAGGCCTTTGAGATATCAACATGAAACTTCATAGGTGCATAGATCTCACTCAGGAGGTGTGCAGTGCACAAGAATGATAACTCTACCTTTCATAATTTTTGAGTTATTGCCCTTTGTTATTTTTCATACTTAATTTTTCACCTGAGTGGAGCATAACTCAAAAAGTGTTTGAGATGTCAACATGAAATGTCATAGGTGGATAGATCTTATTGAGGAGGAATGCTGTGCCCAAGAATGATAACTCTTTGCTATATAATTTTTGAGTTATTGCCCTTTGTTATTTTTCATACTATTTTGTCCGGAGCTAATCTCAAAAAGTATTTGAGATATCAACTTAAAACTTCATAGGTGGATGGATCTTATTGAGGAGGATTGCAGTGCACAAGAATTATAACTCTATTCTGCATAATTTTTTAGTTATTGTCCTTTGTAATTTTTCAAAATTAATTTTTGTCCAGAGCATAACTCAAAAAGTATTTGAAATATCAACATGAATCTTCATAGGTGCATAGATCTCACTCAGGAGGTGTGCAGTGCATAAGAATGATAACTCTACCTTTCATAATTTTTGAGTTATTGCCCTTTGTTATTTTTCATACTTAATTTTTCACCTGAGTGGAGCATAACTCAAAAGTGTTTGAGATGTCAACATGAAATGTCGTAGGTGGATAAATCATATTGAGGAAGAATGCTGTGTGCAAGAATGATAACTCTTTCCTATATATTTTTTGAGTTATTGCCCTTTGTTCTTTTTTATATTTTTTTGTCCAGAGCTTATCTCAAAAAGTATTTGAGGTATCAACTTGAAACTTCATAGGTGAATAGATTTTACTGAGGAGGGGTGCAGCACATAAGAATGATAACCTACCCTGCATTATTTTTCAGTAATTGCCCTTTGTTATTTTCAGCCATCAGTATTCACATAGGTTTTGAATCTGTTATCACTTCAGCCATCAGTTTTCATTACCAAAAGACCTTAAAATTGAATTATTCTGCTTTACTACATATACATTCTTCCAATGAGCAAACACTTTTGGCGGGGGATGGCCATGTTGACATGGCTCTTGTTAAGGTTTAAATCTCTAACGCAAGATACAATGACAGCAAGAGGTCCACATGAAATAGTCGATTCTTGGACCGACGATTTGTTCTTTTTGTATAAATTGTACTAATTTTCGTAAAAGGCACCATTTTCACGAGGCAACAGTTAAACCATTATTTGTCTCAAATAAGATACTCTATTCACAATATTAGGACCAAAGCCCATACCCAAGCAATATTTACGGGTAATTTCCGTGTGGCATGGTCGTTTTTTAGACCGGCAGTTTGTTTTTATGTATATAAAGAATATTCATTTGAGTAAAAAGCACAAATTTCTCGAGGCAACTGTTCAAACATTATTTGTCTTATACCGTTGCGGAGTCGATTTTGTATCAATTTGGTCGGTCTTCTTTGCACCATAAGACGACCAACGGCCTCATGCAAGCAATGTTTCCGGAAGATGTCCGTGTGACATATTCGTTTTTTATTGGGACATTTGTTCTTTCTCTAAATAAATGTTTAATTTTCGGGGGAAAAAGGCACCATTCTCTCGAGCCAACTGTTTAGTACCATTTGTCTGATTGCGTTGCAGAGTCGATTTTGTATCAATCTGGATTGTCTTCTTTGCTTTGTCTTTCTTTTTCAAAAGAAGATCACATACCTCATCCAAGTTCTATGTCCGGGGGATCTCCGCGTGGCATGGTTGTTTCTTGTTCCGGCGATCTGTTCTTTCTGTATATAAAATGTTTTAATTTTCGGAAAAGGCAACATTTTCTCGAACCAATTGTTCAAACACCATTTGTCTGAATCCGTTGCGGAATCGATTTTAAATCAATTTTGGGTGTCTTCTTTGCACCTCAAGAGGACCAAAGCCCTAATCCCAAATTAATGTCCGTGAGATTTAAGCGTGGCATGGTTGTTTTTAGAACAGCCGATTTGATCTTACTTTATATAGATTTTATAAATTGGCAGGAATAACACCATTTTTTTAGGCAATCGTTCAAATGCCATCTGTCTTATTCTGTTGCGGATTCGAGTTTATATCAATTTGAACGGTCTTCTTTGCACCGAAAGCGGACCAAAGCCCTGATCCAAAAGATATGTTCGTGCGATTTCCGCGTGGCATTGTCGATTTTAGAACAATATATACAATTCTTTTTGCGAGGACAAGCCCAAATACGCAATCATTAAACTACGTCCTTAAATACAACGTTGTTCTCAGCCAAAAGAAACACAAATGCAGCGTATACAATTTGGATATAAAGTCTAGAATATTTCACAAAATGTTCTGAAGCTCAACGCCATCAAACCGTTGTCCTGATTCCGTTGCGGATAGCCATAACAATAGTTTGGACAGTCGTTTATGGCAATATAAGGCACAAATTTCTAGTACAAGCTAGGGAAATGGTCGCTAGAGGTCCGCATGTCATGGTCTCCTTTTGTATTGACGATTTGTTCTATCTGTAGATAAAATCTTCGAATGTTCATAAAATGCATCATTTCTGTAGTCCACCATAATAAAACCATTTGTCTATTTCCGCTGCAGATTAATAATAACAACGTAACAATAGTTTGGAAGTTCGTTTTATAAAATAAAAGGCACAATGGTTTAGCCCTTGCACAATAACCGCGACAGCTCCGCATGGCATGGTCGATATTTTGGGTTGGTGAATTTTTCTTTTTATATATGAAGTCTTTCAATTTCCGTTAAATAATTCCTATTTCTTATATTGCACCATCAGCAAACATTTTGTCTGATTCTTTTTCGGATTAGCCATTGCAATGTTATTTGCAATGTGCTTTTTGTATATAAATAAGTCTGTAAAAGAAAAGCACAATCGCTGCAGATTAACCATAACAATAGATTTGAGGTTTTTACAGCAATATAAAGAACCGAGATGGAGCCGAAGGAAAAAGGGGGAATCGGCGATGCTCTGTCTTTCTCGAAACCAACTGAAAATCGAAACGAATCATAGTCGATAAGTGCTTTTGATTCAAACTCATAGTGGTGGTTACTTCTCCTGTTAAGTACAGAAAACAGGAAAATTCAGCCGTGACAGAGCCAGACATATTCTTTTGTTTTTTACATTTGATTTTAAATTCAATACTATCTATTACTTTAAGTTTCTTTCATTCACTTATGATAAGGAAGAAATATTCAGAAAAACAATATATAACTACACTTGATCATGATTGTTAGTAAGCTAACTCTTAAAATACATAGGAAACGACCAGTCACATACACACAAATTGTGTCTATATTTAGATTTAATTAATCAAAAAGCTTGTGATGTAAAGTAGTCTTAACATTATGATTAAAACATTATCAAGAAATATTTATATGAATAAAATGTCAATGATGAATATCTTAGAAATATTCTTTTTTGTTTTATGTGTTCCTCGGATTATTGCAAACAGTGATTTTAAGGACACTTGCGTTTATGACATGGTAGGGACACATCCAAAACATTCATCTAACGTGTCACTAGATGCGGAATTACAGTATTTAATTAATACACACCAGAATAGATGTCTAATGAACGTAACTGAGATTTATGAAAACGTAACAAAACTTGTAACAGTGAAAAGAACTCAACTCTTTGTGTCACTACGTTTTATTTGTTTAGAGAATAGTGATATTCACTTAACGTCATTGGGAACCACTGAGAAATTTGACCAACGTAATATCTCAGTCCAAATAGTACTAATAATGTGTTCTCTGTATATGGATGAATTGGTGCATTTTCAACAATATGGGCACATATGGTCAGTGTTACATACAAATGCAAATATACACAGGGGAACATCTTGCTCCAGTTTGCAAGATCTCAAAATGTTACAATCTATATTAGTTTGTGTAGGAAATGAGACAGATATCAGACAACCTTTCTTCTGGGAGATGTGTGACCCATTTGAACAGCTATTTAACTTACAACTTCAAGGCTGTGATGGGAACCCGTATGACATTAAACACTCTTTCATACAAAGTAAATTTCCAAAACTCCAAACTCTGTGGCTGAAATACATCAATTTAACTTTAAGTGAACTGACATTTCCCTGGACAGACATCTTTATCAACACCTTTGAACAAGAAATCATCAAATATCTTTTATATTATGAAGAAAGTGACAAATACGAAAATACCTCTATCACAAGAACTATCGATATTTATGATTGCACTGTGAATTTTGAGAGTGATATCACATTTGACGGACATATATCAAAAATAGTTATAAACAATAACAAAATACCAAAACTAGGAGACACCGTATTTAGGAAAATAAGAGGTTTGATAGTTTTAGATTTATCGAGTAATGCAATCCAAGAAGTAGACACACATACTTTTATAATGCAGAATAAGCTGGAGCAACTGAACTTAGCTAGAAATAATTTGACAACACTACCAGAAGATGTGTTTGACAATCTGTCTAATTTATTGTATTTAGACTTATCTTCAAACAGATTAAGCAGAGTTGAACAACGCCATTTGAAACATTTGACTAAGCTTAAGCAACTAAATTTAGAAAAAAACTCCATTAAAACATTGCCATTGAACTTCCTTGGGTCACAGATTAATTCAATACATTACGTTTTTCTATCCGAAAACCCTTTGGAAAATTTACCGTTGAATGCTTTCTATGCTCCAAAGATTCTTTTTGTCGATATGCGCCATTGTCGTATCAATTCTAGTGGGCTTCAGTCACTGCTGGACAATTTAAATGAATATAAATTGCAAACAGCTTACTCACGGTCACTTTTTTTAGCCCCATTAGGGACAGGGCGGAGGCTACCTTTCCAGGCACGAACATTTGATTTGTCTCAAAATGATATTACAGAAATACCGATTAATGTATTGTTGCAAACTGAATCTGTAGTAAAATTTAAGACCGTTCTTAGGGCATTTTACATAAAGCTCGATAATAATCCAATAGACTGTACTTGTAAAATTATTTTAACTACTTTATTAGCAGATTTGTATGTACAACAAGGTACACAAATTGACTGGAAGTGCTACTACCCATTAGAGTTTAGGGGCAAATTGATAACAAGTATAAAACCTAAAGAAACATATTGCCCAGTGGACGCCAGGTATTGCCCTGTTCAATGTGTTTGTTACGAACGTTCTAGCACCACAGAACAACCAGCTGAATCAATCTGGGTAAGAAATTTAATTATTGATTGTCGCAATATCAATATGACTTTCTTACCATCGGTTATGCCAGCTGGAAGATTAGAATTATGGTTCCGTAATTCAAGCTTACTTGAAATATCACCTAGGGACTATATGGAAAATGTAACTACCTTAGACGTTTCTTTTAATAGAATAAACCGGATCAAGCCAGTAACTGTGGTATCTCTGAGCCACGTGTCAACTTTGAATATAGATCACAATAACTTGACACATCTACCTGAAGAGCTAGCGGCAAAGAACTTGTCTTTGGTAACCCTCTCAGGCAACCCATTCATTTGTGATTGCAAGATGAAATGGATGAAATTATGGCTTCTAATACGAACAAATCCTGTCAAAGATTGGAAAGAAATAGAATGCACTTATAACACAAGCAATGTGGGACAAATGATTTCCTTACCCGATTCAGTGTTTGTTTGCAAAATACAATTGCGCCATCACGATGTAATTTTCCCGTCAATAATAACCGGCAGTGTTTTGCTCGTGCTTGTCTCCATTATACTGATTGTTACATTTCAACGCTTTACAATAAAGGTTCTGCTTTATCTGTACTGTGGGTTCAGTCCTTTTGATAAACAAATTCAATATACCTCAAACGCAACATATGATGCTTTCATTTTATACTCGTACATGGACAGGGAATTTATACAAAACAACTTGGTAGACAAATTGAAGCGCAAAGGCTACAAAGTTGTTGATTTTTATAAAGATATGATCGTTGGTTTTTCGTTTCTTCAAAACGTCGAGATGTTCATTGAAAGATCAAAAAGAATAATATTTTGCTGGACAGAGGATATGCTGGGAAATGATTTAATCATATCTGCTTGGAATATAGCATACGAGAAAGCTGTGAAAAATGAGCTTGACCTTCTGATATTAGTAGTTGATAGTGATGTAAATAAACGCTCCTGTACCAATGATAACTTTAAGCGATATCTAAAAAGAGGTAGATATATCAAGAAACAATCCAAATATATGTTTGCAAGCATTGAGTATCTGATGTCAAGGATTAGATCATGCACTGCAGTCAAAATGCTAACTGATGAAAGTGGAGAAGAAGAAAGCAATATCCCCTTGTTTGAAACTGTCACCAACACAGTTAATGATCATAATGATTATCATGGTAACGAATTGATTTATGTGTCATACCCTGATGACATAGACTTTGAGATCCGACATGATGTTATCCCGTACTTATCAAGAAACGGGAGAAATATCAAAGTTCTTGAACACGACTTCACACCTGGGGCAGATATCCGAGAAGAAATTCATAGCAAACTTGATTGCTCGCAGCATTTTATTTTCATTATTTCGCGCTCTACATTTGATGATGAAGTTAAAATGTTTATCCTTACAACAGTAATGTCGAAATCAGCATTACGTAACAAAAATTTTTTACTGTTATTTACATCGGGTCTTTTACATGAAACTGACTTTACAAATGAACTGAGCAATTATGTCAACAATTTTGTGACCGGAAGTTTTAGAGATTTTAATTTTAAAACACGTGTGTTACAAGCATTACATCAAAATTTCAGCTTGGGTCAAGATGAAGGCGAACATGAAAATCAGGGAAATTGAAAATTAAAAAAAGTGTATACCTCTTAAACCTTTTGTGTAAGTGAAATGAATTGATTGTCATCAAGATAGTAAAACGTAAGTGGTGTTTTGACTTCCATACAAAAAAAAATGAAAAACTATAACAGTACTTATTGCCAACATGCTATAGAAGCTAAAGATGATTCATTATAAGACAAACGATCACTTAATTATTTTATTTTTAAAAGGGACACGAAAAAGCTTGTGTAAACTAGAGGTTATGGCATTTTAGGTGCATATTATAACGGGCGTTTAGAAATAAAGTTATCGCGTAAATCTGTTTCTGTCATTGCATATGTTTTATATTTTTGTCGAGCAAACTGTCAAGTGTTTAACTTGAAAAAAATTTTTGAATATCCCATGAAAATAATTGTAAATACATCTTTTCATCATTTGTAATTATACTATATATTTTTTTCTTGTTTCATACTTTAAGACGGAATACTTTCAGTTTCAGTGAGTTTGAATGTAAATATGTTGTGCTCTGAACGTTGCAATTCTCTGCTCTTATGGCAGTAGAGGATTCATACCCCTTACAGCGCTCAGTAAAGGAAAAATCACGAGCTTTTCGTTTTTCGTTTTTTTGTTTTTGTTTTTTAATTTTTATATGATTTTTTTAGTATTACAATTAAATTTAACACTAACAAATAGCAATAAAGGTCATATAACTTATATAAGTTAAAATCATGTTCAAAGATAAGGTTGAAATCACGTTCAAAGATTTCTGCATCCAATTGATTAATAACATAGATTGATTACAAATGCACTATAAAATTAGGAACTGAAGGTGAAAAATAATACTTGTCTATAGTTTTAAAACTATCTTGATTGAAAGAGGTTTTTCAATATTAACTGGTTATCTGTTACTCTGGTTCCCTGCCTTAAATTCTTCGTTTATAAATGAAGTGGAAGATACAGACAAAAATATATACATGTAGCAATCGCAACATTTCGGCCCTTTCCGTAAGTCTTCGGATAAGTTCGATTGATACATGTAGTAAAAAGAATTGTAATTATTAGCTAAAGTATTTGTTGTTAAGATTTTGCTTTTGATCTTGTTGTGTTGCTATTCTATTGATAAACAAGTTTTACCAAAATATAATAACAAAATGTAAATAAATTGTTTGTAAGTAGTTGACCATTCAATTTTGTAAATAAAAATATTGCCGCACTGTTGTTGTTACCTTATTCTTTTATTATCAATTTAATATGTTAATAGTTCAATCTAACAACTATATTTTATGCAACAAATATCTCTATTTGATATTTTATATGTCACTTATAGCAGCACCTTTCACGTAACCTGTTATTTACATAGGACACTTGATTTCGGAATAAAGAAAAACCCTTTTGAGAGGTTTGTAGAACTCAAATTTAATTGAATGTAACGATTTTTTAACACAGATCATGTAGCTGCCTCGATTCTAAAACCAACATTTTTTCCGATGTTACTAAAAAAACTTAGTAACAGAGGAAAATGGCGGTTTTAGAATCGACACATCTACATTTAAAATCGTTACTTTCAATTAAATTTGAGTGCTGCAAACCTCACAAAAGGATTTTTTTTTTATCTCGGATCAAGTGCCTATTGTTATTTATAAGTGGTAAGTAACCACCAACAATGGTACATCTATGTAGTGGTACGTAAACACCATGGTATTTAACTTCCAGTTTTAATCCAGACAAACTAGTCACTAATTCGTGCCTTCAATTTTCACTCATTACTCGTGCATTGTTTTCATAGATTTCAAAGGATCACCTCTAAGTTAATTGTGTATACATAAATTTTATATTTCTTTTAACAATTCTTTTCTTTAGAGATATAATTTCTTTTATTTGTAAAATTACAGGACAAGTACATTGATCACCGATAAGTCCCACTTAATTGCTATAAATGATTAAGATCTAAATGCTTTGAATTCAATCGTGCATGTATGAATGTCTTACCCTCGACACGTGCATTTCATTGACGGGCATCTACAGAAGATTGGGAAAATTTATAGAACGGCGAAAACTAAAGAAGATCGAAAATTGTATCCTACGAACCAGATGACGAGTTGCTGTCAGAAGCCTACGGAATGGCCCTACAAAGTATGAATGAAAAAGGAAGGGTACGAAGTGACGGTTTGAAAAACAGGTCATTCACTTGGCATCAACAGCTCATTCCAAGGCTATCTACTTTATTGTTGCTGTATGTTACTCTACATTCTTTGTCTAATATTGACCACCTACTTTTCAACTCAAAACTTCTCTGTCTGGCTAATACTCTGGCGAAAATTCATGACGGTAAATTTTTACCAATGTGTGCTTCAAAATAACATTGTGCATTTCTTGGGTCTGTACTCGATAGCGAAAGCTACTTTTCTACGATGGGCCCTTATGAAACATAGATTACATGCATTCATCAATCATTCGTATGAATTACTAAAAAAAGGATAGAACAAACTGAATTCTTTAAGAACGCCCAAAACTGCAAAGTTGAATATGTTGCGGGTCCGGTTTGATTGAACCTGTCCATGTACTGGGAAGTGCAAGTTACCGTTCCCGTCTCCTAAAACTCGCTATTCAACCATGACAGAAATATATATATTTTATCAGAGAATAAAAATTCGAGAGAAAATCAAAGATAAACACTCTTTTTAGCGGTTCAACTACATTATAAATGGCATTTATACATATATTAATTAACTACATTAGAAATGGCTTTTAAACGTATATTTCCGTTATATATAGTGGTTCAAATACAATGTACATAAAATGCTTAGTATTCCAATCACGATAGAAAAGTGCAGCATATTCTTTAGAAAATTATTTACAAATATGAAAAGAATTAACGTGTTTAATATCAAAAACACGTTACCAATATGCTGAAGTTAAGTGTAATATTATGATTTTAGACAAGGGATAATTATCAATTTAAAGGAGTGTAGTTTGTTAGAAAAGTAGTATTTACACTACATGTATACACTTCAAAACAAGCTATACTTTACATTAAACCTCTGATAAATTCTCAAAATTTATATTTAGATAAACTGACATACAAATATAAAGTACATACCCCGATATTATTGTATAACAATAGTAGGCCTATATCTTCTCATTGAATGCTCAAAAATAAGTACATCTAAATGAATGATAATGATTGTGATTAAGAATACAACAAAACTTAAAAGATTCATGAAATAATGAAAGAATCAGGAATTTCTGGAACTTTAATGTACTAGTGTGTGTATATACATAATGCGCTCATATTGCCAACTTTCGGTTCTAAAACAGTCTTATTTTTGCTAGTTCGGATGCTTTGGTACTGTTTATATTCTTTTCGGTAATTATAATTTCTGCAAATCTGTCACTTCCGGTTTGGTGTGTTTGGCAAAACTGACGTGGCAGGCGTTGAATTTCTTTAATTTTCGATTAGTAAAGCAAAACATAAGTTAAATTATATAATTCCTTTGTTGTATGATATCAGTTCTTTATTTACCTATTGCTAAGAGACCGTAAATCAAAATGGGTTTGACGTTATCGAGCGTTTTCAATCGGTTGTTTGGAAAGAAAAACATGAGAATTCTTATGGGTATGTAAATTCAATTTTATTTTTTTGTGTTTTGTTGACAAAATGATAACTTTAGTCATGGCATGTCATTATGATTAATATTATGAGTTTTTAATAAGTCACTGGCCAGTTGTGAAATTTGTGAGAGGACCTGATGAGAAACATCCTACTAGGTTTTCTTAACATTTTTTTATGATTCTAGCTAGATATGGGTTGGGCAATTGCAAATTATTGCCCAAATATACCCAAATATTTGCCTAAATATACCAAATATTGTCCAATTTATACTAAAAAATAAATGTTTTTAATAAAAAAAGTGCTGTTTTAATCATGAATACAATATACACTTTCACTAAGATATAATCAAACATACCCAAATATACATTTTCCTATCATTGTGTTTTGAACCAAGATACAGTATATGTACTCCATTAAAGCTTTTTTTTAATAACATGGACTTCTTCCTCTATTATGATATGAAATTTCAACAAAATTACACCTTAAAAATGTAAGTGTAGACAACAAATATCATATCTTGAATTAAAATTGCATTCATAAAGAAGCGATATTGTAGATAAGCAAATGTCACAACTTTATTTTCTTACAACATCTTAACTGCCCATTTCAACGGAATGAATGAAAGTTATAGCAGGCTTAGTCATGTCATTTTATAAATATTTATTTATTTCTCATTATAATCTATATTTTATACAAACAAAAATAAATATTGCTATATTTGGGTATATTTGGGCAATATTTGGGTGTATTTGGGTATATTTGGGTATTTCGTGCCGCCGGATATGGGTTGGCTTGAAGAGGCACAGAATACCTATAATACCATGACTGATATAAAATGATATGAAGAAACATATGGTGTCCTGTAGTTTATATTATATTTGTTTCTTTGATTTCAACATTTTTTGTTCATATCTCGGCAGTCGGTCTACACCAAACAGGCTTTCCTGGATGGAAGTGGCTAGCCGTACGGGCCCGTATGGCTAGCCACATGGATGAAAGTTTTCAGGGTTATTCCTGAAGTCAGGATTTTCAGTCTCCTGAAAGCCTTCTATTTCCTATGTAAAACTGTAGAAAAACTGCTTAATTCAGGATTTTCAGGATTTTTAAAATTTCCATCTTTCACCCATGTAGCCAAAAGTTCTAGCCATACGTGTGTCACATACGACTAGCCAGGACTCACTGTATTGTCTAGCTGTACGGCACTTTTCCAAATTATATGGAAGTCAAACATGCATATGTTATTTTGTGCCTCATGATTATGATGTGTTGTTTTATTTGTATGAAAGATGAATTTTTGTTTAGGCCATCCTTAAAAAAATGTTTGTTTGCAGTAAAGCGACCGACTCACAAAATTTGCCCCTACTCAAATTTTTTTTCATGGTCTGGATAAAAAAAAAAAATTTGAATAAAAAATTATGCCTTGTGCTTTGTTTTCATTCTTTTAAAGGTTAATATGTAGGTCTTATTAAATTAGAATTCAGACTGAGAATTTCAGTAAACAATTTATTAATTGTTACCAGATTATCAAAGCATATATTGTCCAGCATTTTGAAATTCCATGTTTATTTGGGAGTACAGTTCAAAAAAAAAAATCGACCTACCTACCCACCTTGAAAATTCTGGGTCGGGTTACTGCAAACAAACATTTTTTTAAGGATGGCCTTATTCAGCACATTGATCGAATAAATAATGATCAGAGTGGAATAAATAAAAAGAACATTGAAAAAAAACAACGGTGAAAAGCAAAAATAATTGTATAATTTTCAAATACAGTAGATAAATATCGAAGGGTGTGCCTAAAGAGTTTGTCGATTTGACGCCAGATGCCAGTTTTTCCCCACTTTACGCCGGTAGTCATTTACTTTACGTCTCTTTACGCCACTTTACGTATTTTAGGCACACCGAATATCGAACATAAAACTTTTTTAAAAGCACAATCAATTAATAAGCCTTAATTAAAGCCTAACCAGGGACTGACAATACGATTTTAAAATGCATTTCACGGAACATGCAAACTTTCCTTAATGATGGACAAACTGCTATACAGTACCGTCGGTAATTGACGCAATATTATTATCAGAGCCCAACAACAAAAATAATTTTTCATTTAAAAGGTGTCGAAAATTAAACTTAATTAAACAAAAACGGATAATCATCAAAATGTTGTAAACTATTTCAATTGATGTTATTTAACTGCGACAAACGCTATTTTTTCTCAACGTCTTGATATGAAAGATCGATATTCATACTTTTTTTACTGTACTGTAGCCAACAAGGCGATTAATCTCTAAAAGTAAAAAGTAAAAATACGAAGACAATTGCTGTTTCTTGGTTCAAATCCTCACTTAAAGTCATAAAATAACATATGCATTTTCGACTTCCATCTTATTTTGAAAATGCCGTACGGCTAGCCAATACAGTGTGTCCTTGCTAGTTGTACGTGACTCACGTACGGCTAGAAATTTTGGTTAGCCGTACGGCTAGCCACTTCAGTCCTGGATATCTAACCTGGAATAATCTATGATAGTGACCAACTACTGATTATAATTTCTGAATCAGGGATGAGAGATAAATAACTTGGACTCCGTGTCCAAGATCATTTGCCATGGATAAATCAGCCCAAGAAATTTTACTCTCAGTGCTCAGTATGCTTTTCTCTCGTTGGTTTGTGACTCTTTATTTTGAAAAATTGCACATGCTCAACAGATATCAGACATACTTGCTATGCAATTAGTGCATTTGTTAATTAAATTCCATATCTTAGGTTCAAAAACTTTAGATTACTTCTTATAACAACTGCTCAAAGATAAGAGCATCTGAACATGTCAACCATGACTGTCTTGCTCAGCTGGACGCTTTCCCATCGATTTGTGAATTCCGATTCACCCTGTGACGTTATCAAAATATATGTGTTCACACCACTAAATGTTAGCATGGTTATTTTAAGTCCGATCTGATAGTAAATGTAATTGCAGGGACTGCGTTCAGGGTAGTGGTGCAACGATATACCGGTATATTGCAATACAGTCTCGGGTCGATACGTACCGCGGTGCAGCTGCCCTGTATTGCGGTTTTTTCTTTAATATTTATGCCGAAATAACATGAATGTAGAAACTTCAATTTTGAATCAGTAAGCAACGATTTACGACATCAAAAACAAAACATCAATGAAACATGAAAAGATTGCCGACACTAGTCGATCCCTGTGATGTATAAAGAAACGCCCGGCGAACTTTTCCTGACGAAGCTCTTTGATCTTACCGCGCGAGTAGCAGAATCGTGTGACGTCATTTTCAGAGTGCGGCTTTGATCACGCTTTATTAAATTACACACAGTTACGCAATTTAAGTTAGGAATGATTAAAATTGTTGATAAACTGAAATAAAAAAATGGAAAAAGAAGATTTTGAACTAATTGAAAATGAGAAAGCTAAAAGTAAAATATGGGTGGAATTCAACTTAAAAAAAAGAAAATCTACAGGAAAAATTGAGGACGGCATAGCTGTTTGTAAAAAATGTAAGATGGATATTCGCTACAGCGGAGGGACCACAAATCTAAATACACATTTGACTCGACACCACAAAATCAATCTGCGACAAGGTGCATGCAAGTCTGGTACTAGTTTGATCGCGGCAACAGCGTCAACCGTAAAGCAGCCGACAATTATGAGTTCTTTTGGGCAGACTTCCAAATACAAGCCTACAAGTCAGCGGTATAAGGACATAACACAAGCCGTCGGAAAATTCATTGTTAATGATCTTCGACCGTTTAGTGTTGTCTCAAATGATGGATTTAAGAATATGATTCGTGTTTTAGACCCTAGATACGACCTACCGTCACGTACGTACTTTTCTGAAACTGTTATACCGAACATGTTTTCTTTAATTATTTTAGTATACACTGTACCACAATACGTATCGCAATACAGGTTGTCTATATCGCAATATATCGCAATACGGGTTTGGCTGTATCGTTGCACCCCTAGTTCAGGGCGTAGTCAGGCGAAAACTTTGCCGTAAATATTCTCAATTCGCCCTATATGATCTGAAAAGCGAAATTCTAGTCGCCCTAAAATCTCTATGAAGTGTCTGACATGTATATTTCTCCACTCGATAATACTGCCTGAAGGCAGATTTAATTGTGTAATCTGATGTAATTAGCACACGCGCTGAAGCGTGGCCATAGCGACATTTGGAATTCACACTTGGAAACTCACATCGCTAAAAATAGCGCATTGATTATATGGTAAATTAAAGCTGATATGAATGCAGCAGATGATAAAAACATGAAAAAGCAAGCTAATTCATAATTAAGTTACCTCAAACGTATATTTGTGTCTTATTTACAATATCCCCTGTACATTTTGTTTGATTTACAGTATTCCCTAAACGTTTTGTTTGATTTACAATTTCCACTATATGTCCTGTTTGATTTACTAGTTCCCCTGTATGTCCTGTTTGATTTACTAGTTCCACTATATGTCCTGTTTGATTTACAATATCCCATATACGTTTGTTATCACCATTACATTTATGATAGTAATATTCATCATTAAAACTGATGTAAATTGATAGAATTTGGATAATTATTATGAATTAAAGAACTTTTCTTCTAAATAAATTGCATTTAAAAGTTAGAGTCAGAAACTGTTGAACCTAAAAAAAAAATAAAAATGTTGTGTTGATGTAAATGAAATGCTTAAATAAACTTTATTGAGCAACTAATACTTCATTAAATATCATCATAGCGATTTTCAAATACAGTACTGGACACGCGAAACCCGCACAATTCACGTATTCGCGGCGAACTCTCATGCTTTACAACACGAGCGAATTCGCGGCAACTTGAGACAATTGCCGCGATTTTGCCGTGAACATTTGCCGTGATTCGCGGGGAATAATACATGATTGTTCATTTGTATAATAAATGTAGATCTATTTATAATTGTACTCTGTGAACTTGAAACCAGATATACATGTACAAGTACGAAAATTAAGTAGTAGATCTACACGAAGTTGTATCAAGAAAATCTTGTAATTTGCTAAAATGCCCTTTCTCTATTTATCTTTGATGCCAACAGCAAATATAAATAACCACGGCGAAATCAAATAACACCGTTAAAAACTTTCCGTGAATGGCGGAATCATGACCTCAAATTCAATGTATAAATGCGACGCAGTACAAGTATGCGGCTCCATCGGCAGGTAAATAGTGTACATGTACACGTGTAAAACTATTTTTTAGGGGGGATACATATTGAGTTTAAAGTAGAGATATAAATATAATATATGTGTAAAAAGATATTTAGTTACATAAAAAGATACATAATTGATACGACATTAACTTGTTCATTTCTAAATGTATCCCCATATTGAAAACGTTACATAAGACATAAATTCAAGCATGGTCAAATTACCGATGTGATAAACTAATCCTGCGTAAATATTCCCGTACGACCTGGAAGAGTTATAGTGGATCACCGGGACATTTCGTTCTCTAGGGTGATCATTACTCAATTTATTACACGTCTGTAAAAAATAACACACGCAAGATTTGTCTCCTATAATTTCTGAATGGCGGATATTTGCACCCCTGTTTTAAAAATGTTAAAATATTTAATTGTTAGTTACCGAAAATTATCGCCGATTGTTGAAATTCCATAGCGCTAAAAGACACAAAAACACTCGCGCAAAAAGAAGCATCCATAAATATAAGGAATATATAATATATAAGGAATATAATGTTTCCATTGTTAAATAATAAATACAAAATTTACACACGAAATGACCTATGACAAATGATTGGTCGGCTCTACTGAAGAATCTGTGAATCTTTGATGTTTACACACCTGTAGTTGTTGCCGAATCATCAAAGAAATGACGACACTCGATTGACTTCCACCTCTTTTTTATATATCAGAAAAGAACTGTCATTTCTTTTTGTCAAGGAATGATTACATATGTTTAATTATTGCTCAAGTAAAAAAAAATGTTGGATATTGATTGTGTCAATTATTGACATATTATTAATCGTAAGTGCATTTTGATTGTGATATTTTATTTACATTTTTATGATCTTGAAGAAATTGTGCAATACGTGTGTCTGCTATCAAAACAATAATGCATATGAAAGGACCACAGCTTCCAAAAATTTATTTTTTCGGTCAATTTTATGACAGAATTCCCGCTGCTACCAGAAATGTTTTATTGCATGGGCTTAGTATTTAATCTGTGTCGTCAGTCATAAACAAACAAACATGTACCCCAAAGCACATTAAAATTACCACATGGTAAACTAGTGACCATATTAATGCTTTACAAATATTCATTAATTGAACAAAAAAATTTTTAATCCCGTTTCCACACCTTAATTTGATACGTGCTATTATTAGTTAATACAACTTAATTGCCGCGCGCATGCAGTACTGCGTGACGTAAGGAAAATATCCTTCCCTGGTTGGTCACTATTTATGTAAATACTTTAAATAGTAACACCCTAATTTTACCTCATGAATGGTCACTCGTTACTTTACATATTAAATGTGTGATTTAACTCCGATTTTATTTTTGTTTTCGAGGGAATTTTTCGGGTCGAATGCCCTGGCTGATTTGGCGGAAATAAAAAAAAATCTGATTTGCATCTTGCTACTCATCACCTACTCATGCACCTGGCATTTTTTACTTGTGAAATTGAAGGTAAAAAATGTCTCAATTTAAGTGATAAACTTTTACAATTTTCAACAATCATAATTAGCGTACTAGACGTAATAATTAGTTACACCTGTGAATCGGTGCTAAATGTCGCTTTGCATTGTTCTAAAAATAGAATATGTGCGAAAGTAAACAATGGATTTTAATTACATTTGTATTATTATCAAAATAACAATTGGACAATTTGTTATCGTGCGTTCTTTGATGTAGTACCAATTACCTTTTGTAATTTCAATCTCGTTTTATTGTTAACTAATTTTCACCAGCACCTGATTGCTTTGTTTTAGTATACAAAATGTATACGCTGTACATGTTCAAATGCTAAATATTTATAAATATACATGACATTTACAAGATTTTTTTAAAGTTTTCAAAATTAAAGACCACGGAATGACCAAGAAGTACTTTCTAATACAATTATTGCTGAAGATTCGCCGTAAATTACAGCGATATATCGCGACGATTTTTCGTGAACCGCCATGAAATTCGGCAAACTTGCACGCGGCGATGTTTTACCGCGTAGTGTCGCGTCATAGACTGCACTCGCGGCATAACGCGACTTTTGCGGGTTTCGCGTGTCCAGTACTGTACACATTTGTTTATTTTCCATGCCATATACATGTATATTTCATATGCATGTACATATAAAGGTGTACATGTATATTTTGTGAAATAGAATTAGAAAAAAAATCCAATGATGTAACTCGATTTGATGATCACTCCCCCCTAAATTTCAAATTTTCTCCCTATTTTTTTCTAAAGGGAGAAATCACTTCTCCCTAAATTTTCAGTCCAAGGTAGTCCCTGCAGTCGTAAGTTAATTTTTACAGCATTATGAATATATTTTTTTTTGCTTTACTGTAAGTGTGTTTAATAAATTATAACATCAATATTGAATATTTTAAAGTAATTAGGTCATCTAATGGACTGTGGGTAGGCACATTTACAGCTGTTCAATTACGCTTTTTGATTGGATAGAATTGCCAAAACGAGTGTCTACTAAAACTTACAAGTGTAGTTTTCGGATGGTGTATGTCCTTGCAGGAGTGTTTTTACCAGACATTTATTTAGGTCACGAATCGATAGGAAGGTACAAATCGATGAGAATAAGGCATACTGGTCACAGGGAGTCGTTTTGACCCTTGAAATGACTCTTTGACCCTTCAAATTTCCAAAAGGCCTGATTTGACCCTCAGAATTTACACTGGAGGGTCAAATTTTGTTAAAATCATAGGGATTTGGCCTTGTAGTCAGTAAAACCTAGTCAAAATGACCCTCAGGATTTCATGACTAGTGAACACCCTGTGGTCAGTTCCAGAAACAGGCTCGAGAGTGTGTCTATAACAATTAAGCTTCCTACACAATCAAACTAAATAAATTATGTGTAAACCAAGTACTGTCTCTATATACTTAAAGCTATACACAATGTTTTTAACCATTTAATTGTTTGTGATTCACTGAAATTCTAAGACCTATAACTCTTCCCTTTCTGAATTTCTATGTAAAACACAGCAAAGATAAAGGAGAGATTGAATGAAATATTTATAAAGAAAAATCACTTTAAAGCTATATGTGATGATTTCAGAGGTCATTATGATTATGAAGATTTTGAATGAGATGAATATTAATTAGATGTTGTTGTTTTTGTTTTTTTTTAAGTTGGACTTGATGCTGCCGGGAAGACGACAATTCTGTACAAATTAAAGCTTGGAGAAATTGTGACTACCATTCCAACCATAGGTATAAAGTTATTTTGTTAATAATTATTTGTTAAAGAAATTAATTAATGCAGTGTGAAACTAGTTATACCCCCAAAAACGAAGTTTGGGGGGTATATAGGAGTCACCCGGTGGTTGGTCGGTCGGTCCAGACGTCCGTTGCATTTTCCTTGTCCGGAGCATAACTTGAAAACTAATGGTTGGAATTCAGTATAACTACATACAATGGTCAAGCACATTGAGAGGAAGTGCAGTGCACAAGAACCATAGCTCTATCTTGACTAATTACAGAGTTATTGCCCTTTGTTACTTTTCCTTGTCCGGGGCATAACTTGAAAACTACTGGTTGGAATTCAAAACAACTTCATACAATTGTCAAACACAATAAGGGAAAGTGCAGTGTACAAGAACCATAACTCTATCTAAAGTAATTACAGAGTTATTGCCCTTTGTTGCTTTTCCATTGCTTTTTTTTGTCCGTTGCATTTTCCTTGTCCGGAGCATAACTTGAAGACTAATGGTTGGAATTCAATATAACTACGTACAATGGTCAAGCACATTGAGAGGAAGTGCAGTGCGTAAGAAACATAACTCTATCTTGACTAATTACAGAGTTATTGCCCTTTGTTACTTTTCCTTGTCCGTGGCATAACTTGAAAACTACTGGTTGGAATTCAAAACAACTTCATACAATTGTCAAACACAATAAGGGGAAGTGCAGTGCACAAGAACCATAACTCTATCTAAAGTAATTACAGAGTTATTGCCCTTTGTTGCTTTTCAATTGCCTTCTTTTTTTTGTCCAGAGCATAACTTGAAGACTAATGGTTGGAATTCAATATAACTACATACAATGGTCAAGCACAATAAGGGGAAGTGCAGTGCATAAGAACCATAACTCCATCTTGACTAATTACAGAGTTATTGCCCATTGTTACTTTTCCATTGCTTTCTTTTGTCCGGACCATAACTTGAAAACTAATTGTTGGAATTCATTATAACTTCATACAATGGTCAAGCACATTGAGAGGAAGTGCAGTGCATAAGAACCATAACTCCATCTTGACTAATTACAGAGTTACTGCCCTTTGTTACTTTTCCTTGTCCAGAGCATGACTTGAAAACTACTGGTTGGAATTCAAAACAACTTCATACAATGGTCAAGCACAATAAGGGGAAGTGCAGTGCACAAGAACCATAACTCCATCTTGACTAATTACAGAGTTATTGCCTTTTGTTACTTTTCCTTGTCCAGAGCATAATTTGAAAACTACTGTTTGGAATTCAGTACAACTTCATACAGTTGTCAAGGACATTAAAAGGAAGTAAAGTGCACAAGAGCCATAACTCCATTTTGACAAAATACAGAGTTACTGCCTTTTGATACTTTTCCTTGTCCGGAGCATAACTTAAAACGTACTGGTTAGAATTCAAAACAACTTCATACAATGGTCAAGCACAATAAGAGGAAGTGCAGTGCACAAGAACTATAACTCTATCTTCAGTATTTATAGAGTGATTGTCCTTTGTTCTTTTTCTTTGTCTTTCTGGACTTATTACAGAGTAACTCAATTAAACTTCATCAATGGCCAACCACATTGAAAGGAAATGCAACATACATGAACCACAATTATCTTTAATTGCCCACAACCATAACTCTATGTTTCAATTCTTTTACATGGTATTCTGTTACTAGTAACATCCTCATTTCCGAAGCAGACTTGTGGGGGTATTAATCACATTTAGTGTATTGTCCTTTGTTCCTTTTCTTTGTATTTCTGGACTTATTACAGAGTAATTCAATTAAACTTCATCAATGGCCAACCACATTGAAAGGAAATGCAACATATAAGAACCACAACTATCTTTAATTGCCCACAACCATAACTCTATGTTTCAATTCTTTTACAAGGTATTCTGTTACTAGTAACATCCTCATTTCCGAAGCAGTCTTGTGGGGGTATTAATCACATTTAGTGATAGTTCTAGTTTCATTAGCCTTTTTCACCAGTATAGAGCCAGGTTGTTAGTTCAATATTTGTATTTTGAAATTGAAAACACAGTATTCTCAAATGGATTGTTCCAAAATCAAGCTGGGCAACATAAAGAAGTCAACATATAATTATAGATAATAAACATTGCATTGTTCAATTTTCAATGTTCTTATCATGCATAAGTTTATTGTTATAGGGTGAGATATTTAAGATTATTATTAGTATAAAGTTTTTAGTCTGGAATTTGAAAGTTGTAGAAAGACACAGAAGCTGAATTATATTAAAGAGACATTTTGAAACCACTTTATAAAAGCTGGAGAAAATTGTTAAAGGGACTCCACTGGGTTTTTTTTCGCTTGAAGTGACTGGAAATATATTTTGAAGACTTTTGTATGATTTGATTTAGGTCTGGACTAATAACTTGTGTGCAAAGTTTCAGATCATTCCTTCACCTAAATGTAGTTTTCCTAGAATAATAATTTGTATTGTGCAAAATGACAAAAAAATTGAAAAGCTTTCAATCAAACGGGGCTAAAAATTCTTAACAAAAAAAAGATTTTTGATTTAACTCTTTGAGTATATTTCTGATTTTACTCTTGAGTATATTTCGTTTGCAGATTTTTCCATTGTAAGTGCATCACTTGATCTTTTTAGATATTTTATATTTTAATACTTTTGAAACTCAGTAGTGCTGCTTTAATTCTACTGAATAAATAAAACATTGACTTAATAACACTGCTCAACAATTCAGTCAAAGGAAGTTTCAAGTACTTTGTGAGAGCAAAAAAATGAAATTGTATACAGATCATTTGTATTCATACCATACTTCTCAAGTGTTTGATTTTGCACATGAACAATTATAAATGATATCAATTTTCATTTTTCCCAGGCTTTAATGTAGAGACTGTTGAATACAAAAATATCAGCTTCACAGTATGGGATGTCGGTGGCCAAGATAAAATCAGACCACTGTGGCGACATTATTTCCAAAATACACAGGTAACATTGTCTTTCATTTATATTGAAGATTGTATTCACTAACAGTTGTTGAGACTGTAACTTTTCCCATTAAATTACTTTTGATGATAAACCCATGTCTTTGTCCTGTGGACACATTTCTAGTAATATTTAAATCCCTAAAATTGACTTTATGCCCATCCAAGGGTATATAGTGAGTGAACAGGTGAATATCAAATTAAGTTTTCATTTTGCCATAATTCCTTTTAATTTAATACTTTACTTCCCATAAACTTCATTTTGCCATAATTCCTTTTAAAGGGATACTCAGGCAAAATAATGTCAAAAATATGAAAATGATCTTGTGTACTCAAATCACGTTAAAATGACATTTCTTAAAGTCCCAGCATGAATTCCTGTATTAATTCTACATGTTTTGGGTTTGAAGTGTAAATATATATATTTATGTTGAACGAAATCTAGACGCCAACAGAATCACCGAATACTTTTAAAACAAGTTATGTGACTTGAATAAACCCTTGATGTTACAATAACAGATATTGTGGGTATTTTATGATTGAAACAAGTCTAAGTCATTCATTTTGGCATGTTCTTTAACTTTTCCAGAGTTCACTGTGACAACTTTTGTGAAATCTTAGCACTCTAACCTGACCCACGCGGGTCAAGTTAGGAAACTACAATTTTATTCTTTATATGGAGAAAAGTTTTGTTCCTTTGACTGTCTAGTGTATTCATTTTGATGATATTTACAGAATAATGAATGAAAGATTCAAAACTAAGAAATGAAAATTTTGCCTGTGTCTCCCTTTAATTTAATAATTTACTTCCCATAAACTATTAATAATGCACAGATCCAAATAAAATTTCTGAAAATACATGTATCTATAAGAATTTACCTCTAATGATCAGTTTATAAAAAGAGTGGGGCAGTCTTTTTATATTTTAGGCAGATTTATAATTTTATCCTGAACATTTTCCAATAACAACTGTTGGTCAAACATCATTTGAACAGTCAATCTTTTGAAATATAAAGTAAATTCAGCTCAACTTGACTATGAAAATATAAGCATAATGTCACTTAAACTTACACATTTTTATGTAAAATGAACTATTCCAAATTCAAAGCAGGGAAAAATCCATTACTCAAATTCAGCAGGTCAAGTGCTTAGGCCAAAGATGTTTGATGAATTGATTTGTTTGTGAGAGGCGAAATTCATCGTCAAATCTGTGCTTGTTTATTTTTTCAGGGTTTGATATTTGTAGTAGATAGTAATGATAGAGAAAGGGCACAAGAGGCACAAGAAGAACTCCAGAAAATGGTAAGTTGAAATCTAAAAATATAAATGCAACAAGATTGTCTGTGCATAGAGTAATTTCAATTTCTCTTCTTGTGTAATATTAAGTATTATTAGATAATTCAATCGATCATTTTATGAGCCATTAATTATGTTTCATTTTCAAACTTAAAGTCTGTGTCTAATATAAAGTATATAAGCAGGTGTCTCCTAAAGTCCTCAACCAATGACCAAGCGCCTATAGTGTTACACTAGTATTTAGCGCATCTTAACGCTATGGTGGTGTCACATCAATATATATGCATGTCTGTGCAATACCATTTTTACGGAGTCACAAAATCAGCACAGGTATGTGATAAATATGGCAAGCATACATATAATGTTCACTGTATGACATATGATTTATCATACTTAATACACATGTATCCTTTTAATCTACACACAGCTTGGCGAAGATGAATTGAGAGAAGCCACTTTGTTGGTTTTTGCAAACAAGCAGGATTTACCGAACGCCATGAGCAGTGCAGAAATTACAGAAAAATTAAAGCTTAATGAGCTACGAAACAGAAAAGTAAGAACATTTTTCATAGATTCTATTCTGATTGATACACTTTTAAACCCTTAACCTATTAGAACCGAAAGTGGTTAGTCTTTGCCACCAGCATGGACTCAGAACAACCTGCACTTTCACGCAGTCTGACCAGGCTCTATAATGTTGGTCCCTTAATTGTTTTGTACAGATATTTTGTTTTCAGATCTCTGAAACTTTAAAGGATCAGTCCAAATTCAAAGCTGGGCAAAGCCGTAACATAAATTCAGTGGGTTAAAGGTTAACAAAAGTGGCTTCTGTTCATAGTACAACTTATGCTATACAATAAAAAAATTGTTGGGTTCCAACCGACCCTTGCAGCGTTTTTCAGTATATCATTTCACACTTGCATCGTTTACCTAATAGCTTTACTGGTAAGAGAAAACTGCAAATTCCTTGCTCAATACCAATGGCAAACATCTGTTCTTTAACTGTAAGCACTGAAAAGTGGTTCACTCCATGACTGTTGGTGGTTAAGGTTAATATAAGTTCAAATACCTTGCCCCTCTTCTCTTTAGGTTTGAATCCTACTAAGGACTCAGGATTTTTTTGTATGAGGAAGTTATCCAGCGAGTTTAAAATATAAAAGTCCAATGAGCTTGTATACAGAATGTCAATGGTTCTACTAGGATGCAAACATGTGTCTGAAATGATCATAAATGCATGGAAGGGCTTCAGCAGTCTTCCTAATTTTGCAAATCTAAAGAATAGTAATCACCTTTAAAGTGTCACCATAGTGTTAAACTCTTTGAGATGCTATGATGTATGTATATGATAGAAGTGGATCTGCAGTTGAGGCATGTGATATACAGATAATTTCAACATCAACAAAGCATAATTGTTTGCTAATGTAAATGTAAAGTTATCATTTATTTCATTTATTGCGATTTTACATAATTAGTTGTATTAATAGGTTAAATTTAAAACTGACATTTGATGATGATCCACAGTTGTGAATTGATCATGCATCAAGCACTGGATGCCACAATTTAAAATGACAGCCCTAAATTCTGATATAAGTAATCATTATTGTCTTTACTTCTATTGCAGTGGTATATCCAAGCAACTTGCGCTACTCAAGGTAATGGATTGTACGAAGGACTAGACTGGTTATCCAGTGAACTTTCAAAGTGATGATAATTAGACTGTGTTACAAGTTTATAGACTGTGGGACTAAATTATAGGGATAGAAAAAGTACTTGCTAAAAATTTATAGATTTCTTCCAAGTGTTTAAAGATGAAGATTTCATGCATGAACAACTACATGATTCCTTGGAATGGCTTCTAAATCGTTTAGAGAAAGTTGTCCTGTTCATTTCTTTAAAATTCAACTTCTTATGAAATTAACACTTTTTTTCCCAATTTTTCTTTACAAATTGCTACAAAAAGTGTTTTTGGTTGTAGTGGTGAAACTTGTCTTTACAACTTACAATATGTTTGAAATTTTTTAATCTTTACTAGAAATCTATAAATTAAGCTATTGCTGAATAGTGTATGGAATGAAAAGACTTCGGCAATTAATTGAGCCAGCTATTTTTAAACAAGATGATAAAAAAGTACGCTTAAAGATCCTGTAAAGCAATTTTCTTATGGTTTGATATAAGAAATATAATGCTCAATTGAAGATTTATCAATATTGTAAGTTCCAAAAAGCATTATTTGTTAAGATATTACTGAATTTACATTTCATGTTAATAAAGGGAGGTAAATCGAAATTTATTTTCTATAAAGTCTAAGTCAAATGTTTCAATAAGAAATGAATCATATATTTTAATGATTACATATAATGTGACAAATATTTGCAGTACATATTTTACATATTCTTTGATGTTTGAAAATTGTTTTAGAAGCATTATTATATACATATATAAAATTTCACTAAGTGTGATTACAACCTTAATGACGACATACAGGATCTTTAAATTTAAGCTGTTGAAGTTAATATATATGCTTGTAGACTATTTATTATTGTGTACATAAGTCGTTTTAACATTTAAGTCTTTTCTCTGTAAGGTATGAAACTTTTCACTTTTGTTTTTGTTTGATGGGAACAGATCTTTAGGGAAAAATATTAAATATTTTTATTTTTGTGTAGACCCTTAATGTGATGTGTGGAAGGAAAAAAGATGGATGTAATATTTTTGCAACAAAAAATGAGATTTTTTTGTTACCATGGCAATGTGTTTATTGTTTAATGGGTGGAAAAACATATTAAGCTTTACCCCATGTGATTATTTTATCTACACAATAACACAAAAATTCATAACTAAACCTGAAATGCAATGAGTCGAAATCAGTGGCTCAGAATTGGTGTTTGGTACACTGATGAAAAGTTGTTCCGATTTGAATTTTTTGTAAGAATTCAGGAGTTAGTAAAAAAAAAACTACATGTTTGTCTAGTCAGCAAGGTCACATGCTTGTGTTTTACTGACTTTGATATTGAAAAAAATAAATAAATTTGTGCTAAATTGCTTGATATTAGCTGTTTTATGTTTAGTGAAAAATCCTTTGAAATGAATTTATGGCATGCTGTTTATTAATGCTTTTTTCATCACAGATCTTTCAACTTTATTTCAGTATCAAGGTTTTTTTATTTTTCATTCCAAAAATATATATATACAATGTATATAAAACAATGGGGACACATAAGCTTTGTTTTTATTGTTATTTCCATTTATGTACGTGTGTTAAAGTATAAGTTTATGTTGCATATGCTGACAAAAAGTTTGATCATTTGCATGCTATTTTCATAACATTTGATTGTGATGCTCATTTGTGAAGGTGTAATAAAGTACATGTATGTTTTATTCTGTGGCTATCTAATTTAATCCCGACATTTACTGCCCTTCAAAACGATCAAATTCACAACTATTTTCTTTTTTTGTTTGCACTATAATCATAAGATTGACCATGTTTAAAGGTAACAGATTTTTTTCGTACACATTCATGCATAGTTATGGAAAATGTTGTATTTGTGAAAATTTGGAAATGTGATGCGAAATACACCATATTATGACTACATGTCATACTACTGTTAATAGTCAAATCCAAAACTTGCCATAGTGGAAAATATAGCATTTTAGTGGAGAAGAAAACATCAATGTTAAAACACATTTGAAAGGCTGCTTGTTGTGATCAAATAAAGAAAATGATAAAGTGAGTTACAATGAAGGTTTCTTTTCTGTTTTTTTTTTTTATATATTTAGGATTATAGGCTAAAAAGAATGTTGTAATGGATGCATTTGTTTCTTTTATAAATAGAAATAGATTATTTGCTGTGAAATAACAAGTATTATTTTTACATGAAGTGTGTTTTAAATGTAATTTGGTATTAACATGGGTTAATGTTTATTAAGGGTTGAAAAAAATTTTTTTGATAGTTTATTGATATGAACCGATATACTAAAAAGAATGCATTCTATAAATTCATATACATGTATGTGTATGTAGTGAATTATTTATAGAATTAAGTTTGTCAAAAATAAGGTACAAAGAACAAATATTGTCAGCCTCAAATGTGATTTAATAAAAACAGTGGACAATCTAGCTTTGTTCATCCATTACTTTTTGAATTGGAGTATCCAGTCAGAAGTGTGATAAAATGTTTGTTATATGTAAATAAAATATCTTACTAAACAGTATAAATACTCTTAGCAATATGTATATAAGATTTCTAACTTGGACATAAAAAATCTTGGTTAAAGTCATTTGTTTACTTATTAAATGTAAACACACAGGTAGTGTCTGATAATTTATCGTTCATCGAGCTTGTAAACAGATGTGACAAAAGACAAACTCTTGGTTGCAAAAGTATATATTAAGAGTATTACTTTCAACTTTTGAATTCCTCGAAAAATAAAAAGTGGGCAAAAATCGGAGAAAATTTCAAATTTGCAACATGATATGTCTGCACAAAGTTAATTTGGTGTAGGTTAACATCAAGCAAAAGCCTGTTCAATAAGGCACATGTTAATGTACAACACTAGTGAAGTAGTTTAACATTCTGATAAAACAAAGGGTTTGGAAATGTAACTGGAATACTATCTGTACAAGAGAGTGGTGTTTGTTCTCTGTAAATAATTGATATGTTAGCATATATCAATTTAAATAATCACCCATTTATAACAAGGTTTATTTATGTTATAGTTTTGAATAAAAAGAAAATAATAAAAAGACAACTGTTATGTCAATGGAACATATTCATATTCATTGTAACTACAATGTTAGTCTCATTTTGCATTTATAACATATTTTAAATGGAATGATGTGAAGTTTGAATATATTGAATTGTCCTTTTGTATTTTTCAATGAATTCGACCATACAAATGTGTCCTTTTGTATTTTTCAATAATTTTGAACATACAAATGTGTCCTTTTGTATTTTTCAATGATTTTGAACATACAAATGTCTTTTCTAATAACTTTGCAAAAGGTTTTATTAATTAAAATTCCTTTGTGTTTATAATTAGTAATATGTGTTCATTGAAATTATTTGATTGTATGGTACACATGTACTCGCTTTGTTGGAAGTTTAAATGTATGTGATTATATATTTAGAACTGATGATAAATCCTATATATCCTTTGTCAAATCAAATCCATTTATCCCTTAACTTGCAAAATTGTGTGTAATGGATTAGCCCAAGTTTGAAATGGACCAGTCCATTCAAGGTGAAAACATTTCATTATACAAAATATATAGATAAAGCTACCAACAGTATAGTGCCTAAGTTAAGATAGCACAGATGTGCAGACTGGCCGTGGCAGCAGACGGGCACAGGATATAATGGTGACAGACTGGCCTGGGTATACACTGGTGGCAAAGGCTAATCACCTTTGATTCTAGCACGTTAAGGGTTAATTATATAAGAAATGACTTGACTGCAGGGCGATTGCTTAAAATGATACATTGTCAAAATAATGCACATGCTGATTCATAAAATGTTTATTAAGAGTGTTTGTGACCAGTTGATGGGTGTGACATATGTGTATAAATTGTACATTAATAAATCTGGATATACATGTGAATGTTGTGTCTTTGTTTTAACTGTACATGGCCTTTAAAAAATATGTCTCTCACCACTTATTGAGATGTCATGTGTGTACCCAGTTTGCCAATGGAAGCAGAAAGCTAAAATGGCAGTTCTCACAGGACATACCTTTTTAAGTAACTACCAGTACTTATTTCTTCATCATTCAGAGTTTTATTACTTTGTGTTTGTACTGATAATATATATCAACATAAGGTATATTTAAATAAAAGTAAGTCATATTTTTTTACTGCCTCCGTGGTCGAGGGGTTAGAGTCGATGACTTCTAATCCAGTTACCTCTCTGGCATGGGTTCGATCCCCGGGAGATGCTTTGGTAGTTTAGTGCAGAGGAAGGTAATCTAGTACTGGTGTAACTCTCCAGGAACGATGGTTAGGAAACTACCTGCCTATATGACTGAAATACTGTTTGGGGGAAAAGGCGTAAAATGAAACAAACAGCAAAAGTCATTTTAAATATTTCATATCTTTTATTCTGTATAAATCTTTAATAATTATGTAACAGGGGGAAAAATCTTTAAAAAAAATACCTTCACCCTAAAATCTAATAAAAATTCATGGAATTCATAATAATTTAGTAAACAACAGATAGCATACTATAAACATTATGTTATATCAAAGCAGAAAAGAAAAATGGCCTATAACAGAAAAAGCTAACATACATAAAAGATGGCACACGATGTATGAAAAGAAGAAATTCTCTCAGAACTACAGTATTGGACTATATAATTATGCAGTTACTAGAGTTCAAAGAATAAGGAAAGAAAAAAAGATGCAAATAAACAGATTTAATTTGATGTACAAAGCACTGTTTGTAATTAACTTTAATTGAACACAATTATCTAGAAAAATGTCTTGTCCGGTGTACATACTAAGAGGTTAATAATTTTAAGGGGTACAATACAGATTAAAGTTCACCCTCTAATAGTCGCTATACTTTTTTGTTGTACACGACATCATCCATAATATTATATTTAAAGGCACGCCAACACTTAATGAAGGAACATATTTATGTAAGCTTCAGTTATATGATACTGTTTAATAATACTCTCCATTGGCTTGCATTTTCAGCTTTTCTAGACAAAAGTCTTCTTTGATACATCTACACAAAACAAATACTCCTGTTAGGTCCCATAAACTTTATGATTTACATATGCACATAGAGGCGGTCCATACATGCTGATCAAGAATGGTAAATACTTGACACAATGCAGCAAAATTTCTAAAAATAGCACGACATTCAATACATATAAAGAAATCCGCCGAGTTATTGCGCCAAATTTTACAAACCGTACAAATCCCACATTATTAACATCCTTTTAGTGATAATTATTTAATTTGATAAAAGTCTAGCATCTCATGACATTCCCCCCATGCAAACATATTTAACTTCCAGGTACTCCTCTATTCCAAACCCTATCCCACCTTCTCTCCCAAGTCCTGACTCTTTGTAACCGCCAAACGGGGCCTCTGGGGTTGAAAATAGTCCTTCATTTACACCTACGATTCCATATTCCAGAGCCTCCGCTATCCGCCATTGTTGGGCAGGGTCATTAGTGTAAACATAACCTGTAAAGTTCAGAGATTCAATTAAATATCACTTTGTTGTAAAATTTTTAATATTTAAATTGATTTCCTAGCAACCAGTTTACACTATTGAAATGTCTATAACACACCAGACTCAACTATACTCAGTATTTGATAATAACATATAAATAGGTCTTTGAAAACTTGTTTATCATATAAAGGGAAGTAACTACAAGACAATTCACAACAAGAAGTTGTGAGCCTAAAAAAAAGGATGTAAAGGTAACAAATAATTTATTTCATTTTAATTAAATATTTTTTCAAACTTGTGCAGTGAAGTTAATGGGTGAAATAGTTGAGAAAAAGAAGAGCATTATTTTGTCAAAAACTACAAAATAGTAATGAACTCTTGTCCACAAATGGGAGGGTATGGTTATAAACAAGGTTAATAGTTCTTAAAGAAATATTTAAATGGGTTTTAATACAAAAATTGGATAGTACATAAGCCTTTACAACAGATGTGGAAATTTGGAGAAGCAGAATTCCTAAAGAACACCAAAAACAGCAAAATTGAAAATGGAGTAGACTGTCATAGGTCTATACTGGTGGTAAAAGCTTCAGATGGGTAAAGGCTAATTAAAGGTTTTGTTGCCGCTGACATTTTCTTTTACCAATTTAAAAACACCAATTAATTGATGAGAAAAGCAAAATTCACGTCTGCTTACCTGCCAGACCAGCAGACGTCCCATTGGCTAAGATGAGTGCTTCCTCTTCTGTTTTAAATCTGTAATTAAAACAAATTTTTGTTTTATCCTTAATAGGTACATGCTTCCAGACTGATGGGCTATAAATTAATTTTTCTTTTCCTAATATATGTACATGTATTAGTTCTCATAGTAAACTTCTAGGCTGATGAGAAGCAGTGCAGTTAAGCTTATCTTTACTTCATCATGACTACTAGTAACTCACTCACTCTTTTCTTAAAATTAAAACAAACCATAATCAACAACACAAAAATAACCCTACAGCAGAAAGAATAGAATAATTGTGGTATTAAGATTTGTAGTTTGAGATATCACTCTACAAATAACAGAAAAACAGTCTAAGAACATGATTGTAATTTCATTTTTCTTAACAATGCAATTAGATTTTCTCAAATAAATCTTGCTTTGAATCTATCTGTAATAGTAAGCTTTCCTTCAGACATTCTTGTAAAACAGATAAGGTTAACAATGACATACTTCTGAACACCTGCTACAGGGCCGAATATTTCCTCTCTCGCACACAGCATGTCCGGTGTGACATCTTGTAACAATGTTGGTTCATAAAATGTTTGTCCAAGAGAACTTCTCTCACCACCACAAACAACCTTTGCTCCTTGTTTTACAGCATCTTGAACAAATGTTTCCACCTGAATTAATGAATTTCATTGTCTCAATTAATCATTCATAATTTAAGAATTTACTAGTGTATATAAGTGAAATTAAGTCAAACTATCAAAGTCCCTATTGAGGTCCATGCCTTAAAGGAAATACCCAAGGTCTTTTTTAATATCTTATTCCTTGTAAGAGCGAAAGTAATGCAAATTTAACCTACAGTCTCGGATTAAATCATCCAAAACCAGGCAATTTTCTGAGGCTTTGTTCTTTCCTGTGACCCAAAACAGGATGGTTTGTTATAGCTTTATTACATTCATACAAATATGCACACAATGAAACAGGTTTTTAACAGAGGTCAATATTGAAATCATATAAGCTATCTCTGGCAGATGAGACTACCCCCAGATCTGCCTGTCATTCAGGCCAGAGTGTGGTGCACCTGAGTAAAACCACTGACTTATTCAAAACTGATATGTATTACTCTTTTAGCTTCATGAACTTATATTGGTAGATTATTCTAAACTCTAGTTGAATAGCTTCCTCACCAGAATGCAACAACTCTGGCAAGATTCAAACCCACAAAGGTGAGGGGCAAGTGATTTGTCATCAGTAACCTCAACCAAATATTCACGAATGCCCCTTATCCACTTTAAAATTAATGGTTTTCACTTAGTAAGCCATTTATTTCAATAGTTTCATTTCCTTTTTTACCATTAACTCATTTCATTTACCTTATCAACGGCCCTGGAGTTGATAAGAGGACCCTGTGTTGTGCCAGTAGCCAAACCAGCACCCACTTTCAATTGTTTATCCATCGTCTCACCCAACTTCTTCACAAAGGCATCATACACACCCTCCTGTACTAGAAATCTATTAGCACTTACACACGTCTGAAAAAAAAGTTAAAATACAATAATTTATATGGTATTTATATAGTATTTTTAAGCATAATAATAGTAATAATGATTTTTGACAGGTTATATGACCAAAAATAAATGGTTTGTAAGACTATACTGGGTTATATAACATACAAACAATTATACACTTGTAATTTTCTTTTTACAAATTTATGATACTGCTTTCTTAGACCAATGAACAAAAAACTAATATATGTATAAAGTTGCAGGAGCGAGGTGTGATTAAAAATAATGTTAAAGTGACAAATGTCTTATGAAAATCAATCCTATAAGCATGAAGTATTGTTACTGTATGATATAACCATACTCATTACAGTCAAACCTAAAAAGACTCCTTTTTAAAGGAATATGCAAGATTTCTGTGTCTCAACAAACATGTAAGACTTTATTCTTAATAAAAAGTGAAAATAAACCATTACATATATTATTGGTTTTTAGATACATTTGCTTGAATTATATTTAATTTATCTGGCAATATTTTTAATACCAGTTAAACGGTAATGTCTGACAGTAAATCATTTGCCAGAATAATCTTTCTTTTTTTTTCTGTGTGTGTGCAAAATGACCAAAAAATCGAAAGTGACTAAAGTCTTTCAACTGAAATCTGGCTAAGAATCTCAAACATAATCAATTTTCAATTTAATTCAGGGATAATTTCTTTAGTATCTTTTACATATTTTTTATTTAAAAGAACACCAAAACTTTGAAACCATGGCACCCTTACATTGCATTACTAGTAAGCTGTCGGCACATCACCTACCTGCCCAGAACACCAAAACTTTGAAGCCATGGCACCACCCACTGCATTATCTGACATTGTATTACTAGTAAGCTATGGGCACATCACCTACCTGCCCAGAACACCAAAACTTTGAAGCCATGGCACCAGCCACTGCATTATCTGACATTGTATTGCTAGTAAGTTACCGGGACCTCACCTACCTGCCTAGAACACCTGAACTTTGAAACCATGGCAGCAGTCACTGCACTATCTTACATTGTATTGCTAGTAAGTTATCGGCGCCTCAACTACCTGCCCAGAACACCTGAACTTGGAAGCCATGGCACCTGCCACCGCATTATCTTACATTGTATTTCTAGTTAGTTATCGGCGCATCACCTACCTGCCCAGAACACCTGAATTTTGAAGCCATGGCACCTGCCACCGCATTATCTTACATTGTATTACTAGTTAGTTATTGGCGCATCACCTACCTGCCCAGAACACCTGAATTTTGAAGCCATGGCACCTGCCACCGCATTATCTTACATTGTATTACTAGTAAGTTATCGGGGCATCACCTACCTGCCCAGAACACCTGAATTTTGAAGCCATGGCACCAGCCACTGCATTCTCTACATTAGCACTATCAAATACAATAAATGGAGCATTTCCTCCTAGTTCCATACTACACTTCTTTACTGTATTCGCACTTTGTTGAAGTAATATCTGAAATATTGTATTCATTTCTAGAAACATCATGTAAAGATGGTATAGAATAAAATTCAGGGAATATCAAATCTCTATCATTCATTATATTTAAATTTAAATGTTCCTTAATAACAGGAAATTCTGTTTCAATAAGCTAGTTGTACCACTCATTGCATTTGTCTATCACTCTACAGCAAATACCATGGTAAAAATACGAAATATAAAAAAAACTGTCTTTCTACAGAATGATGTCAACATCCCAGATGCTTTCTAAACCGAAACTAATAAATCTGTAATGTTATTGTTGATCTTAACTTTATGGTAAGTAAAAATCTATTTTCGATAAGTTAACTTAACTTCCTCACAATTAAAGATCATTTTACAAATTAAAATAACAACACATATCTACTAAGAACACAAATATTAACCTTTCCAACTCCAGAAGATCCGGTAAAAGAGATAAGTGACACTAGAGGGCTCTCACATAAAACTTTACCAACTGCTGGGGCGTTACCTCTATCACATGTTATAACATTAAATACGCCTTTGGGTATACCTGCTTTCTCAAACAACTGAAAATAATAAAAATTCATAATAAAGCTATGTTTCTTAAATTTTCATTGGATTTACAACAATTTATTTAATGAAATGGTATGACATACATGTCCAGTTACAAGTTTAATATTATGAGGTTATTATACATTGTTGTGTGTAATACTGAATTCTATTGGACAAGAACAAAGCTTTGAAAACTATTACAGCTAGATCATTGTCTGCACTGTTTGCTATTGAGTATACAATGTACATATTCTGAAATTTTCCCTATAAATAATGAAATGTTTTTGTTTAAAGGCAGGAAAATTCCATAAAACCATTAAGTTATTTTGCCCGGAAAAATCATTTGAAAATTAAAATTTTCAGCGTGTTTACCTACAAAATGAAGAGTGAAAAGGGGCTTCTCCTTTTTGCAACCTAAAAAGGCTAAAGTGCACATGCTTTTCTTGTTATCATAGCATTTGGAAAATTCCACTAAAAACAAAACATATTGATCAATTAAAAATACTGATACATGCTGCCCAAACTGAAGTGAAATTCTAACACACTTTACATGACTTCCCTTTATAACAGGGAGAGCAGTTGAGTGCATTATTACACGATATATGCATGAAATAAAAGTAGGAAAACTTCCACTCTATAAGGATGATGTCAGATGTGACATCAACAAGCCAAATGACACCAGAAAACTACCTCTCCGCTACATGTAGTTCAATATAATCTTATAATTCTCTTTTCTTTTAGCATGTTAGAATGGAAATAAATATCAATTTTTCTTGCATTGTAGTACAATATTTAATGGTTAATCATTCAAACACTTTGCAATTAATCACTCAGGTCATATAATGCATAAATTAATTTTCATATACATGTATATACACATGTATTTGCCTTGAACTAACTTTTGTACAAATTATGCTTACACCACTTTTATTAAGTATAAATGCACTCATCAGCGTAAGTCTAGTGAAAAGTAAAAGGGTGAGGAAAACTAGCAGCCAGACTAGGGGCCTTGGAATACTAGTCTGCACTACTACAGACAGAGCTACCAAACCGCTTTCACATTTCCCCACCATAAGTTTAACCACTTTCACATTTTATCCACCATAAGTTTAACCACATTCACATTTTCCCCACCACAACCTAAGTATAACCACTTTCACATATTACCCACCATACATATATCCACTTTCACATTTTATCCACCATAAGTGAACAGTTCTATATTGTAACAAAATATGGTTGGAAATCAATTAAAATCATTACAATAAATAGATAACTGTATTAACATACTGGAGTTATCATGCCACAGACTCCGATAGGCTGTTTCAAGGTCATTATTCGTTTAGTCGGAAACGGGCTGCAGACTATGTTGCCCTGCACACGTCTCCCTTCCTCTGCAAACCACTCGCAAAAACTCGCACCATACCCTACTTCTCCTGCAGCATCTGATAGAGGTTTACCCTGAAATTGATCACCCAGCTTGCTATGAAAATGAAACAATGAAAAAAGTTCTCTGAGTTCATGCTTTAATTGAACTATTGTTTATCAAAAACTAGTTAACAAATACTTGAATATGATATGCTTAAAACTGCTAATACTAAAAAATGCATTAACATATATATGAATTTCTATAAAATTTACATATACGTCCAGTAAAAGTAGTTAAAAGGCATCATAATGTCATAAAATTTCAGGTGGACACAAATATGAAAATATGATATGATTTCTCTTTAACATCTTACTGGACCAGATATTTTGGCATTTCCTAGTGATGAAAGAAACTTGTACTCAAACTCTGACTTTCCAGCTTCAAATTGGGATGTGACCTTTAATACCATATAGATACCTGCCTAGAATCATTGGCTAGAAATCTTTATCACAATGAATAGTTCAGTGCTCCACCTCTAAGGTGGACAATTTTGCATTCACCTTGGTATTCAATGTCAGCACCTTAAAAGACAATATCCCATGAAGAGCACCATATTTTCTCTTAAACAACCTAGAGTATCTGACTCAAAGCCATATGTTTATCATTGACTATTACATATATATCTAAGAGCACGATGTGACAGTTTTAACTTACATTTTCCAATGTGATTAATTTTGCTAGCTCATCTTTATTATCAAGCATCATTCTATATGCTTTCTTCAGAGCTTCACCTCGAGCCTACAAGAGTAAAGAACATATCATCTAAAATGGTGAAAAACCATTAAAAGATTTACATTTTATAGATACCCTCAAATAGGTGAGTAAATATTGTAATTTCGTTAGTATCACATTAACTTTAAAAAAAAAATTAAAGTCATTAGGAGTTTCTTGATATAAAAATATTCATCTCCAAAGATTAGGTAAATTTTAGGGATGTCATCCGGAGCCAAAACGGCCATCCGGATATCCAAATCAGACATCCGGATACATCCGGATGTTCGGATCGTTGTTATATTCTTAGTTGGCTGATATGACGTAACCATTTTCTTCGAGACCTATTTCAAAGTGTAGTATTTCCGATAACTTCCTTTTTAATTGAATGTTTCGTATCAAAAAATTTTCGGTATTGATTTTATTTTTCTATGTAGAATATGACTGTTATTGATAAATTGACATCCCTAGTACATTTCTCTCTAAAAATAACCTTTTTATCGAATAGAATTGTACTTTTTCTATAATTATCTGAAACAGAAGTCCAATCATCACTTGTTTATCATTCTTTGAAAATAAATATAAAATCTGTTACAAAATACTGAACCAGTGATTAAGTGTACAGTCGAACATGTATTTAGAGACCACTCAAGGGAAATGGCAAAAACGGATGTTTAATACAATAGTCTCTTTTAACAAAACATGACTCTGCATAACTATTAAGCTGTTGATGATTGTGTTTAGCAATGATGCTTTAAACACTAAACATACAGAGAGATCGCCTGGAATTTAAAGTGATCATGATAGACTAAAGTCACTTAATACACATACTAGCTTGTAGTTAACTTAACTTTGTGGTAGTTTTCTCACCTTTGCTGTAGTTTTCTTCCAGCTCTGAAAAGCTTTGTATGCAACTTGTACTGCTGCCTCTGCATCAGAGGCATTCATATCTGGAACTTTGCCAACAACTTCTCCACTGGCAGGATTAGTCACTGAATAGTAGAACATACTTCAAATAATTCTAAGCAATCTTAAAAACTTTTTAGTAAAAATGAAAAAGTAAACATTTCAGCAATGATACAGATGGAAGATTATAATTATAAACATACCTTGCAATGTATTATGTGAGAAAAAAAAATTATTTGACAGTAATTACCTCAGTTTAGCATTTACACAATCTCTACATGATACTGCTTAGCAATTAATCCAGGAACGGATTCGAGAGTGTTTCAATAAGCTTACAGTTTCCAACACAATCAAACTTAAATAAATTTGTATAAACTAAACTAATTCTGATTATGACAGCAATATCATTACCATGTAATTATGAAACTAAAAGATAACAAAAATTGTTAATTTTCGTCTTATCTGAAAACAAGCAAAATTTCCTTTGATAATTGGAACATACTTAATTTCTATCAATTGATCAGATTATGCTAATTAAGTATTGAAGATTTGTATTTTTTGTTGGATGGGTTACCTTCGTAAGTAGCACCATTTTTGGCAGATATCCACTGACCATCCACATAAGCTTTGTCCTTTACAAGTGAAGACATGCTGGCTGTTTGACTGAAGAATCTACCAAAAGTATTTGTCTTAAAGAGAAGATGTGACGATCTACACAAAATTATCACCTTGGTTTGCATCTGTAAAGAAATGGCGAAATTAACATTATCAAAATATGCTAAAATTAAAAATTCAATAATCATAATCACTTTGTATTGGCATGGCTGAGTGGTCAACACTTCAACCTGGTGAACAAAAGATTGCTAGTTGCCTGGGTCCAACCCTTTTCAGGGGCAAGTCTTTTTTCCTTGATGAAAAACCCCTGAAAACAAACTTATTGCTGTGTCAGTACTGCTTGGTTCTAATAACGGATTCAATGTCAAAACTGACACACACATAAACTAAACAAAACATCATATGTTTGTATCATTAAAGAGTACAGCCCTTTTATCTTATAGCCAAAAAAGAGCATGTCCGAAGTTTATTCAAGTTACGTAAACATTTTTTAAAAAAAGTGACAGGAAAGGTTTACACACTTAAACTATTTAGCCAAAATATAGAAAATGATAATTACTTTATACAGAATATAATTTTAATGACTGTCATCAATATTTATCACTGTAAACAGCTTGAATTTACCCTTACGAATAAATTGTCCTATGACAGTTGCGCCCCTTGCCTAGGACAAAATCCTTGTCGACTACCGTTCTTTATCCGTATCACACGACTCGTCATATTTTATTTCTTCTTTTTTACACACATTGCTTTTGGGACTAAAATATCTTCTGTCCCAGGTTGCATAGACGAGAATAACTATGCAGTGATTTATATAATTATTTGTTTCTGCGAGGAAAATGATTAGGACCTCCATGGACACTTAAATTTCAAGGACTCTGATGATATAAATGTTGTTGGATTGTTGGAAACTGAGACTTTTATTACAGATACTTTATATACTAAGCTCCATTGATATTCTTAAAATATTGCCGATTAGATATCACAGAAAATAATGTATTTTAATATGCTGTTCTAAAGGACTAAACTTGAATCTCCAAGAAAGCGAATCAGGGTTGCAGCGAAAATATCGCACGTGTGCCTGGTGATTGCACTACATAATTACTTCATATATTTGTGAATTGATCTAGAATACCGCATATAATATTAAATTCTTATATCACATTTCAAAGATATATTCTCATCAACTGATGAATAATGGACAATATACCTGTAATAGATCTATATAACATTATGTTTGTCTTCTTTGTTGGATACTAAATGAAATTATCTTAATAATTGCTTGTATTTTTTACAGTAATATGTTTATTTTTATCTTTAAAAGGTCTTGTTGAAAATAAGATTTTGCATTATATGTGTTATCTTTGATGCATTGTCTCAATAAGCTATCTTGGTTAGATAAAGAGTTTTATATTATTATTATAATACGTACGTAAAGCATTTTTTGGCAGTTCCTGTCATGACGTCCGGGGTGACGTCTGGCTGTGGCTTGATAATTGAGCCGTGTCACGACAAAACCAACATAATGGGTTTGCGACCAGCATAACGGTTTGACAGTAAGAAAAAAAGTCTGTAAAATGGGTCAAACCGTTCACGCCAAATTAATTAGGCTAGACCAGCATGGATCCAGACCAGCCTGCGCATGGATCCATGCTGGTCGCAAACCCATTATGTTGGTTTTGTCGTGACACGGCTCATATGTATCAGAAGCAGAACATCATAATTATCTTGAATAAATATCCTAAAATTGTTTTTGGGTGAGAGATGTGACCTCGGTCACCTGTAGAGGGCATTTCAACTTTCGGATCAGTAATTAAATAGTGCTTTTAAAATTGGACGAGAACTTTTAAAGTGTATGTGTATGTCAGCGTCTTTTTTTTTTAAATAACTTCTCAGTCTTGACCAAAGTGCAATGGTTGAGAGCAAAATTTCAAAGTAAATTTATTTTTAGTTCCAAAGTACATTCTCGAAGAACTTATTTATTTGAATTTATTTCTGTAATGTCCTTTTATTTAAGAGGGATGTGACGTAATGTGACCCAAGTTACGTTCATAGATTACAAGCAATTAATGGCCATATGTTTTAGTTGATTTAAAAAGAAGAGCCATCTCGGGTGCAAGATCCGATCGACCAATAAAACTTATGAAAAAAACCTTTTATTGTACGTATACATATGTAACTGACTGATAGCGTTCTTAATAGCATAGTATTTATAGGCACCATGAATTTTAATCTATGTCCTTGATAAAATCATTGTGCACCAAGACGACTATGGTTTGATTAATTTTGTCCTTCGCGATTCGACTAAGATAAACACATAGTTCTGGCCTTTAATTAAGTGCATCTTTACTAAAAGTACAATATAGCTAGACAGTAATTTAGTGACAGTTTATATACTCAGTGTATATATAAAAAAGAACGTAAGCTCTTACCTGATGCATTATTCACTCTCTATACAAACTTATTTCCAAAAAAAACCAACAAAAAACAAAAACACTGATGATATTTAAATCTCTGCTAATACTTATAAGTTCACATGAAATCCCGATTATTTATTCCATGCATTAATTTGCGCTTATGATGCGTGTGTATAAATGAACCTGATAGTACTTAAGTAATGTTTTAAATCACGAGTCTCTATGTAGCTTTGAGCTGGGAGATTGAATTGGTCAAATTTGAATCAGATCCTGTCGTGACCTATAGTTTTTATCAATAAGTCGTTTAATGATTTATATCAGCCGCTATAATAACAATGATAATAATAATGATGAAGATGAATATAATAATAATGATTATGAACATTCATAACAAGTGCAAAAAAAATCAAAATAAATAAATAATACAAATTACAGTTAGCACATTGACAGATTCTTTATATGTCACTTTTCGTCCAAGTTGTACTAAATTTAGTTCAGCATGACCTTGGGTAAAAATGAACGTGTCACTGAAAGTTTAAATGCACAGTAAGCAATATTTTCTCACCAGAAATACAAATGCTACGTTAGTAGTGTTGTGTGTTTTATTGAAATAAACACATTTTATATATACCTATACATGTGCACGTAAGTCGATCCTTTTGTATTAATATTTATCACATAATCTTGACTTAATAAGATATGGAAAAGCATTGCATAGAGATGGAAAAAATAGTTTATTCAACTCACCCGATTGCGTAAAAACTCCACGCTAAATCCGTTATCTTATGAAAGGTCAAAATATGGAGATACCATGTTATATAGTAAGCGAAGGTTGAATACTGATACGGGACAATGTACATTTATACAAAGTCACTATCATTCATGCACACTGTTCATCACATAAGGTATGTGAACACAATGTCAATTTACCTAGACGTTTTCTCCAAATAGACGTTATAAATAATATATAATGCAACTACAAAACCAACGGGACATATAATTATATGTACTAGCTATCACTTTGCATTTCTCCTGAGTACATGTATTTAAACATGAAATTACATAACATGTAAACATAAAAATTATCTTGTAAAAAGCGTCAAAATAATTTTGAAACATTAGAAAATTAATATACATGTAACTCTCCCATATACGTATCTACTGCCAGATAATTGTTCAGTGTACATACGTTGCTACAGCTGGGCAATGATTAGGCAAAAGGCAGGTATAGAACCGAATCAGTTCGAGCCCTTCTCCGTGCTGCTTTTGTGAAAATAGGACATATAATCATGACCATGGTGTGGCGAGATGTTCCAATAAGACAAATTTGATTTTTTTCTCTCGAAAGATAATGGAAAGAGACGAAAAGTTGCGACTGCTTGTAGTCTTTCCGTTGGATATACTTATTATTTCAAGCAAAGCAAGCTTAAAGCTTGCTTTGCTTGAAATAATATTAAGTATACTGCTTAGTGTATACATAAAAGAAGCGGAGTACATCGTCATTGTTGTTATGATAGAAATTGAATTTATTTGCAGGAACATTTCTTCAGATAGGCAAATTTCCTATAGACCTTTACACAAAAATATGATTTTTCCATAGTAACGGATGTCGCATTTCGCGCATGTGCATTCTGCGTCGGGCAAAAGACAAACAAAAGACCACATTTATTTTCACTTCACTTTTGGAAGAAAATATAGTCTTGCAACAATTAAGGCATTATTAAATGTCAATAAGATATGTTTTTAATATTTCTTCTGCAAAAATCACATGAACATGCAACTACAAAATTCAAACCAAAGATTTGTTTATTATTTTATTGCAACATATTCCGCTAACATTTCTTACATTTGCAATAGTTTGAATTAAAATTTACTGTTAATAAAAGCTTTAAAACTTACTGAATTATTAAAACCTACAAATCTAAATAGTTTCAAATCATAAGCAAACTGGTGTAAAAAAAACTTTTTTCATATACGAAAGAATGCATTAAACTGTTTATGAATTGTATTACATTCAAATGTTTAATGTGTGTATCATCAATAAATGTCACATTACTTCATGTATGTAGAATGTAGTTTGTATCTAACGATGAAGTTAGTCAAATATATGTTCTATTCTGTTATGGTCTGTTCTCATAATTCGGAATTATTTTAATATTCACAAGCATTATTTGGTAGGAAATCTCCTCGTATAGACATGGTTACAGGTTTTGAAATTATTACAAAACCAGACGCGCCCATGCTGGCTTTACTAGTTAAAAATACAAGCTATAGCATATTCAAGAAAAACTCATAAAGGTACGAAAAACCATTTCCTTTTCGCAATCTATTTAATAGTACGTGATAAACATTACGCTTTACTTGATATCACTGTTTTAACACGTTTTTTTCCCCCGAAATTTAAAGATTTTCGATTATTAGTGCATGTACCACAGTAGTAATTTTTTTCTCTGACCCAACATTTTCAAAAGCCAAGTCCACATAGCCGACAAAGTAAGTTTGGATAATGAATATTCTCCACATCACTAAATTAGTTTTAAACTTCAGCCTCTGTTATGCTCTCCAGTCTTGATGATTTTGGGCGACTGTTCTGTTCCTGCTGTTCTTGAGTTGATGTCCGCGGTGATTTAAGAGATACCGATTGGATTGAGAGTGATCCGGCTGCACTTATAGTTGAAATCTTTGACGAATTAGAAACTCTACTTCTGCTAACTCTGCGGGATTTAATAGATTCTTCAAGTTGCAGACGAGACCCATCGAAAGCTTCGGCAACCACAGCCTCGGCAACAACGATGTTGTAAACATTTATGCGCATTATGTCAGCGTTATCTCGCAGATTCGCGCTCAAAGGCGAGATTATGGTTAAAAAATGTAGACGCCATTCGTCAAACCAGCAGTTGAAAAGAATGCCATGCCCTGCACAGTGTACCAAGCGAGTTCCAATTGACAGCCATTTTGAAACGCTGTCGTTCGGAATAAATTGCCAGTAAATACAGAGCACAGAGAAGATCGCAAGGCATATTGCAAATGGATACAAGACGAACAAGGTGGCCGAAACGTGCGTGTCAGTCGCACTGAGCGCGTGATTTTGCGGAAGTCCCATTCGCGTGATACGGCGTGTGTGCTGTCTTTTGTTCTTTGCGGCTGTATGACAGACCAAACCAAAGCATACCGTTGTTGTTAAAACAAAAAGTCCTTCTATAGACAGTATGCTGTACACTTGGTACGGCATACACTCACGATTTGCTAACGTGTACCGTAACATATAGCACACAAGAAAGCGAACAAACAGGTAGGATGATATAGTTATCGAGAACGTCCACGCTACGAGATGTGACGCAAATTTATCATCCCCGGTACATCGGATATATTTTAGTGGGAACTTCAATGCAAACACTCTTTCCATACTGACAAGCATAGTTGCCGAGGAAACCAGAACAGAGCACGTGCCCACATACTCTCGGTTGAAATTATTGTCCCAATAAATCCATGGTTGAATTCCGGTCATTAACATAAGCAAGATATCAGTCGCCAAACTCACTTTACACAATTGTCTAAATGGACGCGGTAATTTGGTCGAAAATAAAACGGCACGTGATCCACAAGCCAGGGATAAGATGATAATGACGCAGATTACTGTTACAGATATACTAGACGTTAACGTAAATTCACTCATCTCTACTTCCGGCAGCGTTTCTTGGGAATGGTTCGCCTTTTCAACATAAGGTATCTGAAACAAATGCAAGACAATAAAATAATGAAATATTGTAAAAATGATATTTGATAGGAAACTAAAATAACAGTAGTTACATTTAACTTAACAAAAATTGTAAAGTTGTAAAAAATTAATTTTCTATGTTGTGAGATCCGTAAATGAGCGGTGGCCAAGTAAATCAGGTGGCAACCCAGGGACCATGGGTTCGAATCTTACAGGGATCATGACTTTGCTTCCTCAAACAAAACTGGTCAGTTCCAGGAAACGGACTCTCGAGTCGTTCAAACAAGCTTAAGTTACTAATGTTGCGAGAACTTTTACCAAATTTACATTGTACAAACTACTTTTCTGTATTGATATGTATTGGCAATAAACTATGTTTAAAACCAAACAAATAAGCTCCTTGTACAATAGAACTATGACAAAACTTAATCATGTTATCCTCACATTCGGTGTCATAGGTTATACAGATAAAGGTAAAACAAATTAACATGATTTAACATTCAGTTTATATTCAAAATTGTTTCCGAACAAGGTTTGAGTTATCCCTTAACATGGAACCAGAAGTAATTGGCCTTTGCAACAAGTATAGAACCGGCTAGCCTGCACATCCTTGCAGTCTAACCAGGCTTTATGCTGGTGGTTGATCAGCGGTTGTATTGTGATATTGAAATACCTTCAAAGTTCAAATGAACTGTTCCATATTCAAAGCCGGGCAAGTCCTATTATACAATTTTGGCGTCTTATTCTCTAAACTTGCCTCATGTTATTATTTAGCATTAAAACATTAGAAAGGATATAAGAAAAGGTAACAAAAATAACAAAAAGTGCCATTGTCAAAATGAAGGAAGGAAAAAAAGTATATATAAAATCGTAAATACCTTACATCTGGAGACCATAGTTATCTTTCTTCCATGTGCCTTCTGTGGTCAAACATCAAAGCAAAGTCACATTTACTCATCAAGATTACGTTTCTTTGCCTCACAAAATGCTGGGTTGCCATGGCAACAAGACTGTGTTAATAAAAAAAGTATTATGGTCACCCAACAGACGACATTTTCAATATTGATTTTTCTTTTGTTTTAGTAAGTTTGATCAAAACTGCTAACTTATATTCACACTAAAAACAAATAGCTGGTACTTACCACATATTTTATTTTTCAATTTGCACCTTTAAATTTGGGATAATGACGTAAAGTTTAGTGAAATGTAAGTTGTACATGTATAGCCATTTTAGTGACGTAAAGTTTAGTGGTACGTACATAATTGTATCAGAGACATAGATACAGCTCCGATTGTCCAGACAGTTTAGTGACGTAATAATTTAGTGATGTGTACATAGTACATTCAGTTAGGTGAGGTAAAGTTTAGTGATATGTACATTGTATAAGACAGTTTAGCAATATTGACGAGTAATTTATGGCATTTAGGTTGAACAGCAACATACTATATAATAATGACTTTACAATTTCTGTTCTAAACAATATTTGCTCCCAAAATCAAATTTAAAACACTCCAAACTTTGATTTGATTTGAGAACAAACAAACATTAAGCATATAACATCCCGAAGTTCTCTTATATTGACGGAAAGTGTTAGATTTTAGGTAGCAAAGCTCATGCATACAGCGACTATCCTGGCAACTTCATGGAATAAGACCCAAGGTGCCATTTCTTGCATTATTAACTGCATAAATCATTTTTATTGAAAAAACAAGATATTCAGTAAAGAACATTTTTATTTTCAGATCATATTACGCACATTTTAATCTACCGGTAGTTTCCTTTAAGCAGGGGCACACTTTATTTTTTATCTTACTTCTTCTCAAAAGTTGATTCTTGTTCTAAAGTTACTTCCATTTGAAGAATAAACACCATTTGTAATTATCAAGGAAGTCTTGATTCTTACCAAACAGATTTAAGTTTCCTCTGCATCAACTGTAATAATCAAGGTAGGTTACTCTAACTAATGTGAATTTGCTTACCAAGAGGTACCGCCCGTTGAAGCGCTACTAGTAATTAGGGGGAGACCTTTCTTATCAACCTGTTTTTCTTTCTCATGTGTTATTCCCCTTTGAACTTAAACGGCATTATTAATTTGCAGGAAAGACCACTCTAATCCTTTGCTTCCAAGAGTTACTCGAGGTTGACTCAATTTTGTTTTTAATGCTTATTATAAATGTATAGACTATTTCCAGAAGATATGGGAGATAAAAACAATTGTTTTTAAGATTTCTTTACATTTTTTATTACATTAAACACATTTTCTTTCACAAATATTCATTTTCATGCATGAATTTTCTGTATTGACCGACAAATTAAGTAACAAAATACAATAAAAACACCAAAAATAGAGAAAAAATTATTTCTTACTTAAGAAGGAACATGTGACAATGAAATAATTTTATCTCAATCGAATTAAGCATATCTTAAATGCATGCCTTCCTAATAAAGAAAAATCAAAATAATAAAAGACAAAACCTTTTTTTTAACAATTATTATTTTGTTGGGGAACATTTTATTCTCTTTTCTTATACAATTCAGGTGGACATTTTACTTGAATAAGAATACAAGATGATCGTTGTATATTTCCTCAATCTTATCTTCACACTATCTAAAAATTCAGTTTCAAAATATCAGACTTTCAAATAATCATATAAGCATTAAGCAAACAGTTTCTTTGTTTCAAAATTCATTAAATCACATTACAACATATATAAACCTTGATAAAAATCACTATTCTGTACAATTTTTGATACCACGGCAGATTTTCTAACAAAACAGGTGCATTGATAAGAACAAAAATCCAAGAACACAATTCAAGTAACAAAATCATATTTGTAAAATCCATTTTGAATTAATTCTATTATAATTACTATTAAGCTTATACATAAAAGAAAATCCTTCAACAATGCAACACTGAAGTAAAATACATTTTTTTCTCCGTAAACACTTGAATTTACAATAGTTTCCAAGATATAGATATTTAGTTATATATTTCATGACACTTCACAAATGCTAAAATCATATCACGTCAAATGAAAGAATCCCTCCAATTTATCAATGGCTATTTTAGTATATCATACTCCATGACAGATGGACAGTTCTCATGACATCCCCTGTGATTTACTGCCTCTTTAATTCACCAGATTTAACGTTTTCTCATTTCGCCTCGGTCTCCATGTCTTCTTCATCTTCTTCCTCGTCGTCTTCTTCGTGACGTTCTTGTTTCTCGTACGCTTTGTCTGACGGCGTCACTACTACACCTTCCCAAACACTCATTTCTGTAGCTATAGCTGGTGGATGAAAACAAAAACTGAGCAGTTAGACCAATAATTTGGGCAAAAGAAAAACGAATTTATACTAATAAATATGGTGCCAGGTGAAAAGAATTATGACAAATTTAATTAAGGTCACCCAAAATTTAGACTTATTAAATAAGCAAAAGGAGAATTGAGACTTATTAGATAGGGCATCTAAGAATTTACATCAATCAAACAGGCTGACTGAGAATTTAGATAAATAAAATACCCTTGTAGATAAAAAAAATTGTGACAAATCAAATGGTTAATTTAACTCAAATTTCAAAAAAAAATTAAATTGAACTACTACACCAAGTAAAAAGTTACATATCAATTTTGAATCTTAATCAATAAAACAATAGAATAAAATGTTTTCATGCCAAAAAATTAAAAATACTTCAAAGTCATGTACAAAGAACGGTCATACCTTGAGTTACAACAAAACAAATATGTGTAAATTAAAAACAACAATAAATGTTACTAGATTACAGAAATAAAGAAAGAGGAAACAACTTCTTACTAGCATTTCCTTCCATTCCAAGAATCTGTTTAAAGCCACCATGGCTGAGTACCCTCAGTAATGTCTGTGCTGTGTAACAAACTTGATCCTACAATTATAATATTTACAGTATATAATACAGTAGTACGTTTCCTATTAAAGACACATAAAGCCTCACAAATAAACATTCATTTTTTTTTGTTTGGGCTTTACTTCGCACCAAAACAGTATAGGTTGTATAAAGACTTTCCAGCTTTACTGGAGGAGGAAGATCTCAGGTGCCCTTTCAAACACAAACGGGCACCCGAGTAGAACTGTTGACATTTCGTAAGCTAGCTTGATAATTTCCTCACATGAAAGAATCAAAAGTAAAACCCACAGTAGTGAAGGGCAAGTGGTTTGAAGTGGCCTTTATTCTTTACCATGGACGCCCCATCAAAATTGAAGATATTTTTCTACTTTAGATACTGTTTAATAATAGATTTAGATCATGTTAAAGAGTATCATTTAAGGAAAGTAATGCTTAATGTGAAATAATTTGAAAAAGAAGCAAAATGTAAACAAAACAATATTTCTACATCCAGACAAAGTACTGGACCTTATAACTCTTTGAAGCTAGCAGCCAAATGACTTGCTTATACAACTAGTATAAAACCCGTTCACCTTTGCATACTTAAGGTTTTTAAATTTTTTTAAGTTTGTTCATGAAAACAACTAACAATTTGCAATTCAAAAGTCAAAGCACAAGTCTACTACAAATATTCAGCAAGATAAAGGTAAGCTATCAGAATTAGTTCCCTTTAACAGGAGTTAGTTCCCTTTAACAGGAGGCAATAAATTGTTTCATTTTGCAAAAATCAACTGTGGCATCAAAGACAAGAGTAACAAGCAATTATCATAGTATTGCAAGCAATCCATAAGTCCCCTACTGGTTAGAACCCCAGCAGCATTCTGATGGGCCATAATGGCCATTCAATTTTACCAGTGGATGAATGACATGAATTGAACTTAAATCTTTTGAGTTCTAAGTTTGTCTATATCACAGTAATGTGTTAAGTTTCCCTGCCTAGTAAAGAAATTCTGTTTATACAACCTTGTCATATTATTATAATGTGGGATTTTAAAGTAAATCCTATAAGGAATGAAGAAGTTGGAGTGAAAAATACCAATTTCTCGAAAAAAATCTAAGTTCAAGGGGGAGATAATTCTGGAAATAGTCTTGCTAGAGTATTTAACCTTCTCAAAAGTGTTGAGTGATAATAAGAAACATATATATGAAGTTTGAAGTAGATACATTAGGAAATAAAGAAGTTATTTAAAAACAAAAATATTTTTTTTCCATAAAAATTCTAAGTTCAAGGGAGGTAATACTGATAATTTTTGTGCTAGAGTTGTAAACCTTGTCACATATGATGTGGTTGATGGCCAGAAACTTATATTAAAAATTTGAAGTAAACACCTTAAGAAATAAAGAACTTATAGTGAAAAAGCTGAAAAATTTAAAACAGAAATCTTGAAATTCAGGCTATTTGTTACCATAGCAACCAGAATTTTCAACATAGGATGAAAAATAAAAGATGTACATAATCTCCAGACTGCCATCTGCCCGTATTTCAAGTTTCATAAAAATATTTTCAGTACTTTTTGAATTATCACTGGATCCAGTTTATGTGTTAAATTTGCCATATTTTCAGACTATTTGTTGCCATAGCAACCAGAATTTTCAACACAGAAAGAAAAGAAAAAGATGTGCATTATCTCCAGACTGCCATCTACCCATATTTCAAGTTTCATAAAAAATATTTTCAGTACTTTTTGAGTTATCACTGGATCCAGTTTATGTGTTAAATTTGCCATATTTTCAGATTATTTATTGCCATAGCAACCAGAATTTTCAACATAGGAAGAAAAAAAAAGACGTGCATAATGTCCATACTGCCATCTATCCATATATCAAGTTTCATAAAAATATTTTCAGTACTTTTTGCGTTATCGCGGGATCCAGTTTTGTGGACAGACGGACTGACGGACTGACAGACGGACGGACGGACAGACAGACGGACGGTAAACCTAAAGTCCCCTCCGGTTAAACCGGTAGGGGACTAATAAAAACTTGGTCCAAGCATAAATAATTATGTGATTTATTTCATCGACATCTTCTTTTATTTCATATGTGGGCATAAACAAGAGACAAGACTAACCTGTTGTTCAAGGGTCATAACTGTATGTACTCGTACTGTGCCCTGTTCACAGGGATCTGTAATACCAACTGACCCTGGCAGGAAAAAACCAGCTGCTAAAATCTGTAAACACCTTCTGTAATGATATATATTTATAATCCATTAATGATAGTTATACATATATTATAGGATAGAATTTTCATGAAATTTATCTGACACAAGGCAATCTAATAACACTTTTCCTGCTAAGAGATTATCTGTTAACTTGCTGATTTAGATAATCCAATACTGTAACCCAACGAATATTCGCGACCAATTAATATTCACTTTAATCGCGGATGGCCACGAAGCGCAAATATTTGTTTGCGCGAATAAGTCCGCACAATTTCTCGAATAAATTCGAGAGAAATTTTTATTTTAGACGTTGTTCATGCAAAGCTACTTGACCGGATATATTCAAATTTTATGGGCACCTGTAAGGAAGTAATGAATTGTTATGAATATTGCCATAAAGCAATAAAAACACAAACTAAGTAAACTACTACTATTTTATAAATATCAAAAGAACTCTATGTCAATATAGCAATCAAAATAAACATCCACATTTTAATACAGTTTATGAAATACTAGTAGGCCTATTGTCAATCACGTTCCGTATAGGGTACTATACGGAGCATGTGTCAGTTTTAAGTTTAAGATATTGCTTTTTTATGTAACCGTGCTCTCATTTATGGATCTCTCAAGAACTTTCGAAAAATGTCGCACCGCACTTGCATTTCCATTTTCACACGCATAATTGGCAATCTTTGCTCTCTGTTCACTATCATAATGTCCGTAACTTTCACGTTTACGCTTTACACCACTCTTTGGTGATAAAATTTCAAATACAGCTTCGTTTGCTGCTTTAGTCATTTTTTTCTTTTCTGATGTGCTTTCCAGATCATGATCGGGAAAAAACGTAGCCGAAACATCGCTGCATTCTGAGGGTTTATTTTTTATCAACCACCCTTTTAACGACATGTTTAGAAATGAAGACGAACGATGCGTACATGTACATATATAGAGAAAATGTTTTGCTAAATTGTGATCACAATTCACTTACCAATACAATACAAGGCTAGCGTATTGTTAATCCTATTTAAGACACCAATAACGACCTCAATTATTGAAGATTAATAGTCGGCTAATGTATTTTACGGCCCCATCGGACTTTCCAATCCGCGAATTCTTTTTTTCGGAAATCAAGAAAACGCGGAAATTAATATTTGCGAATATGTCCGACCTCGGCAAAACGCGAAAATTTGTATTCGCGAATATAAATTGGGTTACAGTAACTTGCTGATTCAGTGTAATGGATCGGTCAACTATCCCATTTATAACACTCTATTCCAAGTTTAATGGATTTTTGCAGCATCTGTCTCAAGTGCTGACCTTTACCTTAGACCACGAAGCTGGTTTTGTGGGCAGAGTGCATTAAGGTTCATGCATCTGTGATGTTTGAAGGCTCTAGACAGAAGGACTTCTGTTTTATGGCCAATTATTATTGGATATTTGTAGATAATGGCAGAGTACACCAATGTGCATACATCTGTGAAATTCAAATCCTATGTGCTGTTTGGAGTTAACAATGATCTTGACCTTTGACTTTAAAGTTGGTGTTTCCAGCAGAGCTAAAGAAGTAACAACATTTTGGATGGAAGCATGTTAACTTAATGACAAAGGATGATATTGTCTATTTTGGTCACAGACATAGGTGATCCCACATTCCACTGTCTTTGTCAGTTCACTGATGAACAGTGTGCAAGGGTAACGCTATATTCCCCCGGGCATAATGACATTCAGTATATTGATTTATGACATTTTATTGTAATCCTGTTTAATATTTCAATCATGTACTGCTTTTATTACATTGTAAACAAGCAAGGTCATGTATTCAATCCTATATAACTGAAATATGTCATAAAACAATTAACATGTGACTTACTTGAAGGCTATATTTATTGCAAGTGGCTGCCGTGTTGGATTGTTCATGATTGCGTAATGTGACTGAAAATACAAGTAACAACACATTTTAATACGGAAAAATGAGGCAATAATTACAAAAAATTATCATTCTATGAAAACTGACTATTCTTGGTAAAATCACCAGTTATGGCAATATATTGAGCACTACACACAGATTCCTAACAAAAAAGTTTGAGAAGCAGAATACTTACTAGGAGATCAATAATCCATGGTGTAAGTGGAGAGAATCCTTCAAATCTGTTCTTTAAATCTTGTAGTAATCTGTTTAAAACTTTTATGCTGAAAAAAAATTAAAACATCCATGATAAAAATTCACATAAACCTTTTACAAAATATAAAAGAAATGTTAATATAAGTTATGTACATTGCTCAACTAGAATAGCAATAGTTGACAAAAGTGCATTTTACTTTCATGAATAGAAAAAATCGTGTACTGATTTTCCTATAGTATATAAAATGACTGTTTATCAATGCAAATATGGAAAAAGACATTTATTTCATTGTGATCTAGTGTATCATACTATCTTTCAGTATCAGATATAACAGTGTGTATAAATAAAAGTGGGCCCAAAGCCAAACTGACATCAAGCACAAATGTCCTTAAAAACATTCCCCTAATTTCTGACTACCAAGCAAGGAACAGACAAGAAAACTTAAATGATTATTTTTGTGAGACTGACCAATGATATGACAGAGGGGAGCGGTGGCCTAATGGTTAAGGTGTCTGACACTCAACAAAGGGATCATGGGTTCGAGCCCTTATTGGGTCAAGACCAAGTTTCTTCATATGACACCAGTACTGGTTGGTTCAAGGAAGCAAACTCAAAAGTGGTTAATATAAGTTGAAAGAACTTGTTTCACAATTGAGTTTAAATAAATATGTTTAAACCAATAATTTGACCAACAATCTACCACACACAGGACAATATGGCTGCTTTTATAACTTTACTGCATTCATAAATTACTCAAGTAAAATTATACTAGGCATGGGTTTAATTATTACAAAGTAGCCAAGAACTTTTCAACATGTGTTTGGCCAACTAACTACTTTAGGTTCTTTAACAAACCATTGTAGGGAAATCTTCTTACTAACTGACTTGATAAAATAGCCATGTTTCTTTACAACATAATGAAACTTTGCTGTAGATGAAAATTTGAACACATATAAATGTAACAAAACAAACCTTGAATGAGATGCGTTTTCCTCGAACCAGCGAGCGTGACGTATGGCGGCTAGATGACTATTCATGATTTTACCGTCCACTGAAAAACAAATATAAGACAATGGCTAATGCTTTACAAATTCTAATTCCCTTTCAAAGCAGGCATGTATATCCACAAAATCTGACCAAACACCATGCTCATGTGAACCAAAAATTTGTATGTCAATATAGCTTTAAAATCTATGCTGGTTTGTTTTGTTTGATTTTACCTCACACCAACACTGTGAAGGTCATGTGAAGACTTTCAAGCTTTACTGTTGGAGGAAGATCTCAGGTGCCCCTTGACATATGAGTGCACCTGAGTAGAACCACCAACCTTTCATAAGCTGGCTAGATAGCTTCCTCACATGAAAGAATCCAAAATCCCTGATGAGATTTGAACACATAGCAGTGACAGGCAAGTGATTTGAAGATGGCAACCATAAGCATCTGGCCATAGAGGCCCAAATTACTTTAAAGACATTTTCTACAGTTTTATGAAAAATTAATCCTTTCATAGAATTTTCTAAATTTTTTGTATGATGAGTAAAATTTAATGACAAATTTAAAAATAAAAAGAAAAATATATGTTGACGTGTTGGATTTCTTGTAAAATGGCAGTTTCCATGGTAACCGTATATCTAAAAACTGTCAAAATAGCCTAACTGTGTTATAACAAATAGAAAATGTATAAGATAGCTTATAGCACATAACGAGCATTGTTTTATGCAAAGATAACCTTATCTAATGATTCTGTATGAAACAAATGATAATCTGAACATATTTCTTTAAAAAAAGAGTTTTCCATGTTCCTCAACCGAACAAAAAATGAGAAAAATAAACATGAATTCTGAGAATAATTAGATATATTGAAAAAAGTGTTTCATAGGATTTTCTAATTTTTTTCAATGTTGTGTAAAATTTAATGACAAATTCAAAAAGAAAAAGAAAAATATATGTTGGCGTGTTGGATTTTTTGAAAAATGGCAGTTTCCATGGTAACCGTTTATCTCAAAATTGTCAAAGTAGCCAAACTGTGTTATAATAATGTATAAAATAGCTTATTACACTCACAATAAAAGTAATTTTATACAAAGCTTGCTTTATCTTAGGGTTCTGTATAAAACAAACAATAATTGGAACATATTTCTTTAAAAAATGAGTTTTTATGCTTTTTAACTAAACATAAAATGAGAAAAATAAACATGAAATTCTGTAAAAAATTAAAGCTATCAAGAAATTTCTTTCATAGAATTTTCTACATTGTTGATATATCAAGTAACATTTGATGGTGGATTCAAAAATAGAAATAAAATATATATGTTGACGTGTTAGTTTTTTGTAAACGGGCAGTTTCCATGGTTACCGCATATGCCAACTGTCAAAATTACCACGCTTTCTTAAGAAATATCAGTGTTATACTAAATGTATTGTCAAATATACAACAAAAACATGTTGTAATAAAAATTTCTTTTTCTTTTGATGTTATATTAAGTCTGAATGATACTGAATATCTTTTTAAAACATATCTAGGGCCATATTATTTTTTCCACTCGACTAACATACCCGAACAGTAAGCAAGTATTCAGAAATTTAAAAGAAAATAATGAGTTCGGAACATTTCTTAGATATTAATTTTTTTTTTATTCAACACTTTTAAAATATATCATTTTAAACTTCTTTGCCCCGTTGTCTGCCAGTAATCAAGTCGCGACGCACTTTCGTCACTATACCACAAGTGGGTGGGGTAACGCGCACAGAATTATCATCAATGCTGTCGTACTAATGCTTGGAGAAATCCTTTATATGATGTTGTCTAAACAACCTCTTATTCTTTTGAACCGATCTCCTTTTGAACATTTAGAAATATCTATTCTGTATTATTTACTCATTATTTGCTTATAGCCGAAATTTAAACACTTATCCGAATACTATTCAACTTGACCTTCATTTGAAGAGTAATTATCCGTGATTATCTTTCTTGGAAGCGCATAACGATGCGCACAAAAAACTACCAAAAACGTCTTTAATCTACAAGAGACCCATCCAAATTTTAAGTATGACAAGTTGATAAAACAAGAGCTGTCGGTAGGACAGCAACGCTCGACTATTCTTAGTGCTTGATAGTAAACAAAATGCTTGATACAGTTACCTCCTCCTGTTTACAGGTTGGGGTCATGATGGTGAACAAGTGTGCAAAGTTTCAAAGCCATATGTCAATGGACTTTGAAAATATTTGAACTATTACAAAAACTTTAACGTAAATTCTAAGTCGAAAAAGGGGCATAATTCTGTCAAAATGCTTGATAGAGTTACCTCCTCCTGTTTACAGGTTGGGGTCATGATGTTGAACAAGTGTGCAAAGTTTCAAAGCCATATGTCAATGGACTTTGAAAATATTTGAACTATTACAAAAACTTTAACGTAAATTCTAAGTCGAAAAAGGGGCATAATTCTGTCAAAATGCTTGATAGAGTTACCTCCTCTTGTCTCTACAGGTTGGGTCATGATGCTGTGAACAAGTGTGCAAAGTTTTCAAAGCCATATGTCAATGGACTTTGAAAAATATTTGAACTATTACAAAAACTTTAACGTAAATTCTAAGTCGAAAAAGGGGCATAATTCTGTCAAAATGCTTGATAGAGTTACCTCCTCCTGTCTACAGGTTGGGGTCATGATGGTGAACAAGTGTGCAAAGTTTCAAAGCCATATGTCAATGGACTTTGAAAATATTTGAACTATTACAAAAACTTTAACGTAAATTCTAAGTCGAAAAAGGGGCATAATTCTGTCAAAATGCTTGATAGAGTTACCTCCTCTTGTCTACAGGTTGGGGTCATGATGGTGAACAAGTGCGCAAAGTTTCAAAGCCATATGTCAATGGACTTTGAAAATATTTGAACTATTACAAAAACTTTAACGTAAATTCTAAGTCGAAAAAGGGGCATAATTCTGTCAAAATGCTTGATAGAGTTACCTCCTCCTGTCTACAGGTTGGGGTCATGATGGTGAACAAGTGTGCAAAGTTTCAAAGCCATATGTCAATGGACTTTGAAAATATTTGAACTATTACAAAAACTTTAACATAAGTGGTTACGCCGACGCTCGGGTGACTGCAATAGCTCTACTTATTCTTATCGAATAGTCGAGCTAAAAAAGTTAACTTACAATGTAGATCTGGATCTAGTTTCTTCAAATTTGGTGGTATAGTTGTAATAAGGCATCGTACTGTGGCGTCAGATGAACTTATCTCAAACCCTGTCTCACTTGTCAACATTGATAATACTGAAATTTATAAAATAAAAAATATAAATATTATTTCAACCTTCAGAAAGATATTTCTCTTTGATATTTTGAACCTCTAAAAAATTGTTGTTTTATTTTCATTTTCTATGTTTACTAATTCTGTTTTCTGTTTATTTTATCTTTTTTTTTTCAAGGGGGGGGGGGTGTTGGGAGGTAAAATTTTGTTTGATTTGCTAAAAAAAAATTATTTTGCTGTTTATATCATTTTATTATAGCTCTAATAAACTCCAAACTACAATTAAATTGTCTTACTTTCTCTTGGTTCTGATGTTCTTAAATCTTCTACAACTTTATTTCCAAGGGCAGTAACTGCTTCTTCTGTAAAACAAAATCACATTAAGAAAGGTTAAACTGTGTTAAGACTTTTTTCATTGGATAAACCATTGTATCTGCATATAACAAAGCTTGTAAATGAATACTATTTTTTCACAAGACAGTGACTGAGGTTTCACCATTAGGGTAAAAAATCTAAAGCATCTGCCATCAAGTGACAATGATAAAATCACATCTTATTTACCAGCGGTACATGATCATCTATTTGTTTCTTTGGGTTTTTTTAACACATTTTCAGTCATTTTTATTTACAGTCTTTCCACCTAGCAGCTCCTGGACAGCTAACTGGTAATAACTAATTTCTCTGCAAGTGACCCACTACATATCTAATATGATTTCTGCATCAGCAATGGGAGAAAAACCAACCATTAGACTCAATGTCCAAGCCAATTGTCACAGAGAAATTATGCCTCACCAGATAATCATACCAGTTACCAATGGGTAACAAATGCAATGGTCTCTCTATTGAGGTAAACAGACAAAACTCTAATAAATCATCAAATCTGTCATGTCTAAGCAACAGGAGACTCATCTTCTGTATGTTATATATTGAGCATGACTTTGACTTTGTTGTGGTTAAAGCTATCTAAATTACAAAGACTAAATTAATAAGACTAGAACTCCGCGAGTCGAATGTGTCGCCTTGTGAACAATGTAGTTTAGGAGAAATGGCCTGGACAAAAATGAAATATAAAAAATAACAAAGGGCAATAACTAAAAAAATAATAAGTGCAGAGCAGCAGTTTCTGTGCACTGCACTTCTTATCAATAAGATCTATCATTCTATGATGTTTCAAGTCCATAGCTTTCATACTTGAGGAGAAATGACCAGGACAAAAATAAAGTAAGAAAATCAACAAAGGGCAATAACTCAAAAAATAAGAAATGCAGAGTATCAGTTCTTATGCACTGCACTTTCTCTTAATGAGATCTATCATCCTATGAAGTTTCAAGTCCATAACTTTTATACTTTCGGAGAAATGGCCTGGACAAAAATTAACAAAGGGCCATAACTCAAAAAATAAGAAATGCAGAGTACCGATTCTTGTGCACTGCACTTCTTCTTAATGAGATCTATCATCCTATGAAGTTTCAAGTCCATAGCTTTTATACTTAAGGAGAAATGGCCCAGACAAAATTAAAGTATGAAAATAAACAAAGGGCAATAACTCAAAAATTAGGAAGTGCAGAGTACCGGTTCTTATGCACTGCACTTCTTCTTAATGAGATCTATCATCCTATTAAGTTTCAAGTCCACAGCTTTTTAAGTTGAAGAGAAATGGCCCGGACAAAATTAAAGTATGAAAGTTAACAAAGGGCAATAACTCAAAAAATAAGAACTGCAGAGTACCGGTCCTTGTGCACTGCACTTCGGGTTATTGAAAGAAGCATGCATACCAAGTTTGAAGTCAATCAGACTTATAGTGACTGAGTTATGCTCCGGACAAGCTCCCGACACAGACGCCACCGACAAAAGTAACCCCTATATGTCACCTTTTCAAGGCGACACAAAAAGTTGGTAATCCCTGTTTGAAGTTTCTTAGCATGTCACTAACCTTCTTATGAGTAACATAACAAAATACTTTCTTTTGGGTAAAGCTTTCAACTTAACATTAATTCACTTGTCGGGTTAAGTTTACACAAAACTTAAGACTTACATTGTACTTGTGGGTAAAGTTTACACCAAACATTAGACTTATATGTGGGTAAAATTTACACAAAACGTAAGACTTACATTGTACTTGTGGGTAAAGTTTACACAAAATGTAAGATTTACATTGTACTTGTTGGTAAAGTTTACACAAAATGTAAGATTTACATTGTACTTGTGGGTAAAGTTTACACAAAATGTAAGACTTACTTGTGGGTAAAGTTTACACAAAACGTAAGACTTACATTGTATTTGTGGGTAAAGTTTACACAAAATGTAAGACTTACATTGTACTTGTTGGTAAAGTTTACACAAAATGTAAGACTTACTTGTGGGTAAAGTTTACACAAAATGTAAGACTTACATTGTACTTGTTGGTAAAGTTTACACAAAATGTAAGATTTACATTGTACTTGTGGGTAAAGTTTACACAAAATGTAAGACTTACTTGTGGGTAAAGTTTACACAAAATGTAAGACTTACATTGTACTTGTTGGTAAAGTTTACACAAAATGTAAGACTTACTTGTGGGTAAAGTTTACACAAAATGTAAGACTTACATTGTACTTGTTGGTAAAGTTTACACAAAATGTAAGATTTACATTGTACTTGTGGGTAAAGTTTACACAAAATGTAAGACTTACTTGTGGGTAAAGTTTACACAAAACGTAAGACTTACATTGTATTTGTGGGTAAAGTTCACACAAAATGTAAGACTTACATTGTACTTGTTGGTAAAGTTTACACAAAATGTAAGACTTACTTGTGGGTAAAGTTTTCAACATGACAACAATATCAGCTACATTATTGCCAGCCATCATTGTTCCTTTCTTAAATGGTCCAACTTGTCTCACCTCCTCTATTTGCTAAAAATAGAAACACATATCCGGAATTATAATACACAGCAATCAGTAAATAATCATCCATATCCACAATTATAACACAAAATAGGTTGCCAAAAAAAGAAGCAATGTTTGAGCCTGTTGCCATCAATTATTCTTTTCAACTTGTCTTACAAATCTTTTTTCTAAATTCTGCACAAAGTTATGGTAAATATTTATGTGGACACTGCTGTTCTAAATGTACATGTATCTGGACACCCAAACGTGAAAGTTGAAGACCTGATAGTGTTTCTTCTTAGGCTTACAGGCAGGCTTTGTCATTAAAATAATTTTGAGACTGTTTATTTTGAATTTGAAGCGGTCAGTTTTGATTTATCACACATAAACAAGTTTTAAGACAGCTCAAATGCATTTTAGACAATCATTTAAGCCCACAGCCGACTCCTAACAACAACCTTGTAACTTGATGGCTATTACTAAGTTAACTTACTGCTGCGTCAAAGTTTCCTGGAGTAATTGTGAGACTGTCTAATACTGTGTTTATCTTTGATACGAGAGCTAAGATTGCTGCCTGTTCATTGGTTGATGGAGTGAGGTCACCGTTACGCTTCAATAACGCCTGAAATAACACAATTTTAAATTTTGAAGAGACATCTCAAATTACAGGATTTAAACAGTATCATGTATTACATGTAAAATAACACCAAATAGGACATTTTAATATAAGCAATACATAAATTTTAAATTTTTGGACAAAAAAACTGTGAAAGAAAAAAGAAATCTCTCAAATATGAACAATACCGAAATTCAGAACAGCACTACTTTAAGGGTTATATTTATTATATCAAATGGATAATATTTATTTTGTATAATATAAACAAATGTTTACATGTCAAGTGATATAATGTAGTAAGTGATTCTTACATCTGTGAGAGGTTTTTCATCTTGTACTGTTCTGGCCTGAGGGAAGTTGGTCTCACACTGTGTCATATCAAATGGAATGTGTGGAATAAATGCCCTGAACCTGTGTGTATAATTAAAATGCTATAAAATTCATCATGAAAAGTATATGAAAAAATCTGGAATTTTAATATATACAATCACAGGGTTCTCACTAGGATTTTAATACAGGAAACCTAGGACTCATGGAACTTCCGAGCTTGAAGAATTTAGAGGACCATAGGGTGTTACAGTTTTGTTGCATACAAGTTCAACACTTTTTGCAGCATTTCTGCTACAATGAGCCTTTTAAATACTTTTAAAACTTTAAAAGTTGATAATTTCATTATGTTTACGATTGACAATTTTGTTGTTCAAAACCAACTCTGATTGAACTATATATAATTCAGTCTATATGTAAGTGTTCTAAGATGATTGTAGGGTAAGTTTCTACATGACATATGACCTCAGACATTGAGTCACGAGCCTCTCAAGGTTCATTCAGAAAATCATATGGTACACTATTAGAAGTCAGTCACTTGCACAGAAATTGGTAATTACTGATTAGGTATCCAGGAAAGCAAATTAATTGACTGACCACAGAGATAAATGAATGACCAAAAAATGTGTTCAAATCAGCATCAAAAACAAACAAATCAAAAGATTAAAATCCTGCAAATAACATTCCACAATTTTTTTCCAATTGATTTTGATTAAAGTTTTAACATCCTAAGCTATTGAATAAAACAAGATAAACATTTTCAATGAAATAAAGTAATGACATACGGTGGTGAAGGTTTAAATCCCATCATTCCACCACGCATCATACCACCTCTCATTGGAGGACCTCCACGACCACGACGGAAAGGGCGACCCCCACGCATATTTCTGTAAAATAAAAATATTATATTCATAATAAGATGTTAAAAATATCATAATAAAAACATCATCACAACCAAAATACATGCTTGTAATGCATATTAAGGCAGGTTTGTTATATGGCAACTCAGTATGCTATAATGAAGTACTACCAGAGTATATACTTTAGAGGTACTAAAATATTTTTACACAATAAATGGACAGGTCTTATTTTCCACTATTTTTTATATGTCAAAGGTTCCCATACTTTTGCTTATCTTTATAATATACAATCCATTATCCTGCTTGGATATATAACAGTCCAAAATCAAACCATTTCATGTCCAATATGAATATACTGTAAAAATGTTCCCAAATTTAACATAAGAGTCTAGCCAGTCCCCTGTGTATAGAGATGTGCAGGCCTTTGACGGCTGCCAAGATGCTTTAGTGAGTTGTACTAAATCATATATACATCTTATGTTCAGAAATATAATTATTGAACTATACAAGTATTTTTTTTTCAAATCTTATAAGAAAAACACGTTCAAACCTTAAAGACATTTCAGTTAAATCCTAAACCAACCAAATGTATGTACATTGTATTAGCAGCAGGTTTTGAGAAAACACTTTGCAGAAATATTGACTACCTTTAACAAAACTGTCATAACTTGTACAAACTGAGGAGTTATTTTCACAAGTTTTTTATCCACATCATTTTAAACGCTCTCTCTCTTTTGTTATGACAAATGATATTTTCTTTCTCGAGTTTTTTTTTTAGGATTTTGGGAAATGATTCCTTGGGAAATTAAGCCTAAGTTTGCTTAAATTTAGAAATTCACATGTTTGGTGGTAATATAAGTTTGCTAAAAGCAAGAAAATATTGTCGAATCAACACACAAATTATACAACAATAGCAGTTTTAAGTTTATATTTGTGTTGTTAAAGTAGACAGATCTCCAATGGACACATTTTCCATTATTATTTCAAATATTGATAAAAACAATGTATCATTTGGATATCCTTATAAAATGCTGCTTGAAAAAAAAATGTTGATAAAGTTCTAACTGATATAGAATGACCGATTTATCTGATAAATAATAATAATTTGTTATTTTCCTTGGCTTTATCATCTCCTATCTGAGACAGAATATAACTATTGTTTTTTCTGTACATAAATATATGTAATATCAGATCATGTATCTCACACTTGCCAACAAATTCCAGTCTTCAATGAATAATTCTTTTCTGGTTTGTTGTTATGACTTCTTCTAAATACTATCAATGTAATTATTCATTATTAACAGACCTTTAATAATAGACCAATTCACTTTAATAAATCCTTACTTTATTTTTCAACAAGAGCACCGCTAGGCAGAGCATTATATGCCCGAAAGTCTTCTTTTTAAAGTTAGTAAGGATGAAGCACTTGTAAGACATGGGAATTAAATAAAGTATTACCTCCTTCAAAAAGCAATCCTCCTATGAAGTTTGAATATTGTGGGCCAAATGGAACTTCAGTTATGCTCCAGAAACAGTTTTCAGTTTTAAGGTTACAGTGACCTTGACCTTGTGATCCCAAAATCAATAGGGGTCTTCTACCTAATATGGACAATCATCCTATGAAGTTTGAATACTGTGGACCAAATTGAACTTAAGTTATGCTCCGGAAACCAAATTGCAACGAATGGATGGACGGACGGACGCCAGGGGGTATAACATAATATGCCCGAAATTCTTTTGGGCATATAAATTTGCCCATTGGATATTGTGAAGGGTTTCCTGCTTTTGGTTGATATAGGCAGGTAAAAAAATTATTTTTTTTAAGGGAAATTATATTCTTTTTTTTTTAAAGAGGGGAAATGTGCAGTAATTTCATTATGAATTTAGAGTCCTCCTTTTGTAAAAGACTTTCAATTGATTTTATGTGCTAAATACCCAAGGTTACGAGTTAAAAAATTCTAAGATATGTTTTATAAGAAAAGTTTACATAAACTAATGATTATATAACTTTTGTAAAGGTCAACTAAGTAATGATACATATGTCAAATATCTGGGCATTGTGTTTCACACTAAGAGATTCTGTTTTCCTTTATAACTCTAAATAAATCAAGTGCCCCCCACCACATGATGGGGCCAATTTTGACCTGCGGAAGCCTTAACCTGCATTATGCACATCATCTCTAGGTGTGGCACGACCAATTGTCCATATTGCCTAGGTTTTCTCACAGTCAAATGGAAATTTGCAGTATCCTAGAGTCTAACTTACACATTTACATTGATAACATTGTGAAAAAGACACAAACACTATGCTTCCTGCAGCACAACAACAAGGTTCAATTTCATTCTGAAGTAACCCATTAAAAGTATGGCCTAAAAGACACTTGTCAGACCTGCTTGAGTTACTCAGAATACTACAGTTCCAGTGTCTGACCAAGAGAGACAGAGGTGTTTTGTTCATCTGATGCTTTGTTTGAAAATTGCAAAAGAACTTTGGTACTTATGATAATGAAAGGTATTTCTAATAAAATGTTTACATGTACATTGATTGTGGCATATGTCCTAACATAAATCGTGGTGTCAGACAATCGTGGTGTCAGACTTTCTGGGATTCTGTTACATCACACAACTGACCATTTAATGTTCCCCGCCGTGAAGCTCTCGTAGTGATGGTTCTGGCTTCCAGAACTTAATATGCTGCTTTTCTTTATCTGATGCGGCATTGTCAATTGTCACAGTTTAAAAACAGGTACACTGAATACCTTATGCTACCGCAATGATAAAGCATAGTGCGTGCTTTACTATATCATAATATTTGCAAGTTGTAAATATTGGTATACTAGGTTATATGCTGCTATGTTTATTTGAGAAACATTTTTTTAAAGTGGCCTGGAAATCAGTCTAGCAATTATGGCATGCATGTTAAGTGCTGTGTTTAAAAAATCTAAATCTTCTAGACCTGTGTAAGGGCCCTTCTGCAGGGTCTTCTTTTGGCTATGTGTTAACTGTAGCCCTTTAACAGTTACTTTCTCATGAGCCATATGAAAAAAATTCCCATCAAGCTGAAAAATTCCCCTCAATCTGAAATCATCTATTATGGCTTGTTTGCCTTTAAAAAATCGCATTTTGAATCAAATCATTAATGTTTAGAACACACACTGACATGATGCTGTTTCCAGAGAGTAGAAACAGAGGCCCTGTATAAACTGCAGGTTCAGCATTCTGAATCTGCGGTCAGTGAATTTTCTGCATTGTAAACAAAGTTTTCATGTTACTCAATGATAATTGCCGGGTATTCAGATAACAGAGCAATCACAACTGTTCAGCTAAATGTTAATCGTAGAGGTGTTCTGATTGAAAATGGAAGCAGTGTATGAAATACAGAATGGCACCTTAAAAACAAACAAGGGTGCCATAGTCACAAAATACGCCCGTTTACGAAAGCTTTAGATGGAGATGGGGGCATTATGGATAAGTGTTATCTAGCAAGCAAGTTTTTATTCTTGGCACTGTGTTGTTAAATGAACCTTTAAACAAATCAGTAGGGAAGATATGCACAGGATGTGTGACCTTGACCTTGGTCGCAGGGACCTGAATTTTATGCACGGCACTCAGCCTCACAATGATGAACATTTGTGCCAAATTATATTGAAATCCCTCTATGCATGTAGAAGTTTTGCTCCAGACAAGCGTTTTTCTATGAGCTCTAACTGTGACCTTCACCTTTGACCTAGAGACTTGGTTCAAGTGCAGGGCACTACGTCTCATGATGGTGAACAATTCTATAAAGTAACATTAAAATTCCTCCATGCATGTAGAAAATATGCTCCAGACAACATCTGGATATTTAATCATCTCCAGTGACCTTGACCTTGCAAATATTAACCTAAATTAAATGTGTCACACCTGTAGTCATGATAGTTACCATTTGTGCTACAGTCCATCAATAAATGATGACTAAATGGTCCCTATACACATCTTCAAATTTTTATCTGAACTTTGACCTCTATGTGTAACATTGACTTTGGTCGCAGGGATCTGAATTTTGCGTGCGACACTCAGCCTCACAATGGTGAACATTTGTGCCAAGTTATATTGAATGTAGAAGTTTTGCTCCGGACAAGCGTTTTTCAATGAGCTCTAAGTGTGACCTTGACCTTTGACCTGGAGACCTGGATCATGCATGGAGCAATACATATCATGGTGGTGAACATTTCCATAAAGTATTATAAAAATTCTTCCATACATGTAGGAGATATGCTCCAGACAAAATCTGGATATTTCACCATCTTTAGTGACCTTGACCTTGCATATATTGACCTAAAGTACATGTGTCACAGCCGTAGTCATGATGACCATTTGTGTTACAATCCCTCAATAAATGATGATTAAATCGTCCCTATACACATCTTCATATTTTTATCTAAACTTTGACCTCTATGTGTGACCTTGACCTTGGCCGCAAGGACCTGAATCTTGTGCGCGACACTCCGCCTCACAATGGTGAACATTTGTGCCAAGTAATATTGAAATCCCTCTATACATGTGGAAGTTTTGCTCCGGACAAGCATTTTTCAATGAGCTCCAAGTGTGACCTTAACCTTTGACCTAGAGACCTGGTTCATGTGCGCGACACTGCTCCTCATAGTGGTGAACATTTCTATGAAGTTTCATGAAAATCCCTCCATACATTTAGGAGAGCTGAACTGATATTTACTTGAAAATTAAAATATAATTAAATTTCTATGAGAAAGTATTTACATTTGATAAGGTAATTACTGTATGATCTTTATGAACAAATACCAAGTCTACAGAACACCATAGTTATCACAGTTAAGAATCTTGACCAATGAATGAAACATGTGTAAATAAATGTTACATTCTTTAGAATACTCAAGTCCAAGAAAGAGGATCATTTATGCCCTTTGATTAAATTCTATTTTTAGAATTGAAAGTGAAAGTAGATCAAGGGGAGTAATTGTGTAAGTCATTTATGAACAAAGTAATAACTTTGTTGTCGCCCTTTGATA